AAAAGCGCAAACGCGCGTAGCAAATCACGTTTTCTTTAAAATCTTATACTTTAGGAAAAAATATTGTTCGATTTTTAAAATTAAATCCCCAAGCGGTTTTAGCCGGTCTGCCGTTATACCTGCTCTGCGGTTTTCCAAATAGCGAGCATATATGCCATGTATAGAAGACATAGTGTATGTTCATGCTCATTTATAGCTAAAATGCAAATCAAATACATTTGTTACTAGTATTGTCATTAAATATGTAGATACATTGCTGAATAACTAGACTATTTACGGTCTCTAAAATCTGATAATCCACAAATTTTTGAAAAACAAAGACTTAATTTAACAAGAAGACGCCTTTTTCTGCTAAAAAATAAAATAGACAATTATCTTCGTGTACGTGTTTGATAAAACATATTTAAATTTATTAGGGCACCGAGCGAATACCTACTGCTTAAGCAGCTAATTTTCTCTATGGTGTAAATTTTACAGACAACTGAAAAACTTGTTTACCAACCGTCATCCCCACGTGACTGACCTATCCTGTGACTGTACTTACGGTATTTGCTACCGAAACCTTCCCTATGTAACGTTGTTGGGCCAAAAACATTTCTCAGATTTTCGGTTAACATTCCATGAGTTAGCACATCAAACAATCATTACGTAATTCCTTATGGAATATCCACAAATGTCGGAAAATACAGTTACATTAAAAGAATGGCTTGTCTCTAGGCGACATTATTTTTAAGGCGTCAGTGTAGGAAAATTTGCCTCAATCTGTAAATTAATCAAGCGTTTATGTGTTAATAACGTGCACAATAATTTTTGTCTTTATCTGACGGATGCGCGTCAAACAGTCAGGTTTTCGCGAAACCAAAAATGCGTTTAGAAAAGCTCATTAATTAGATTCAGTCTTTTTGCAGAAAGCGTCCACGGATGCCAAGCGTGGTCTTGGACAATCGCCAACATATGAAATTGTCTGGCCATAAGGTAATCCTGATTCTTGCTTAAACTTGCAAGTAGTTCCAAAGAAAATATCTATTAAAGCATATTCTGCATGACCAAGTTAACTATATTGAAACAAGTCCGCAGATTAAATAAAGCACACAACTTTTCATATTTCTCAAAATGAGCACGCCGGTTCCAGTTACAGTAGCTCAGGCATTTAATGCTGACTGACGCATAGATATTAAATTTAGGAAAGCCTGAACGAAGAGCGTTTTACTTATTGGCTAATAACTTTTGGAATAATAGACGTTTTTCAGTGCAGATTGTCATATGTTGTTTCGTTAAACACATGTTTGTAATTTATGGGTGAAATTGACTTGACCTTCATTTTAGTCTATCTTTTTCCACATTGTTTGGGGGCATCGAAACCACTGATCCCGGATAGTGAAAATGCCGGAAAATCTTGTCTTTATCTACAAGAAAGCAATGATTTTACCGCAAAATAATCACCATGATATACAGTTGATAATACGTTTATAATTGCTCCAGGTAATCATGCTTCAACTGCTCATTCACTGGGTCTCTTCTTAGCAAATGACCTTAGTTAGATGTCAATTCGTTTGATGTTTCTGCGCACGAAACAAGAAAAACCTCTTTACCATAACCAACTTCATTTGGAGTAATGTCAATGCAGAAAAAGCACAGACTTTGCGGCCGCATGATAACAAAACCACATAAACAACCACGCAAACTACATAACCAACCACCAACAGAATTTCCAGCTGACATACTATGTGGTAAATAATTAATGGAGGAAATTTTCTCAAATGTTAGACACAAATCTTATTTTTCATGCCTTCTTTTATTACAGATTTCTTGTAATATCTAGAGCTAGATTTGGATTTACATTATGAATACAATATGTGCGCAAAGTTTTAGTTCGATCTAACCTGCTAGCACTTGGAAATTCTCTTTCCGCCTTCATTTTGAACAGGCGTCTGTCAAATGCATTTGGAGTGATTTCCGATTAAACAAAGATTTTATGTAACTCTTAGCATTTTTCTGTCCTAAGTCGCTAGTGTCACGTCCGATGTACCTACTTTAATCATACGGTTAGCCAATGTCTTTTAGCAGGCCCCATAACATTTGATAAAGGAAAAAGTTAAAGAAGGTTTAACTTATGCGACAGTAGTCATAACCGCATGGTTCAAAAATCACGGCCAAATAGTCTTGATAGTAGTTGATTTGGCAGATTAGACAAGTATTTTATTATTTGTTTATTTATTTGTTTTTTTTATTTTTTAGCGCTTGCAGTAACTGAGGTGTTCAGTCTACTCTTTGAAAAGATCACGTTAAATGGCTGGTGTTGCTGAATCGCTGGTAGACTGAATTTAAACCCCCTCTACATCTGAACTTAAACATGCAATTACAGCATTAATGTTGCTTTACTGTCTGCCAACGCATTACATTTATTCCATCTCAGTTTTTTGTTAAAATAATTGATATTTAAGACATTTTGGCGCATATGATTTACAGTGAACTAAAACCTTCATAATTTGAAAGTTGAATATGATTAAATTAAAACAGCGTACTTTTTTTCAAATAAGTAGTAAAACTATATAATTAACCCGTCTTCCCATTTATCTGCGCATGTTAAGCATTAACGGGCCCGTGGCTCGATGGTAGCGTCAAACATCATGACCAGAGATCCCGGGTTCGCACCTCAAGTGATCCGCACCTTGGTTTGGGTTTGATTGACTGATAACGACTACTAAGCCATAAATGGCCATTCCTGTCTCCCTTGTCTTTGTCGGTACTCTCTCGTTAATCTACGATTATCATTGTAGTGCAACTGTGTCTCTTTAAAAGGTGTTCGAATGTATCCTTATCCGCTACTGACTAAACCTCGCACGGACACTTACCAACCTTCGTAAGCTTCTCCACAGGTTGGAAAGACGATCTTAAAAGTCATCTGATGATAGAAGTTCCTTTACGGTTTTGCGGCAACTGGCCGAATGCGTACACCATACCCACTCAATTTTTATCGTTCTACCATATGTTTGTGTCTTTCTGATAAGGGTCTGTTTATAATCCCTGACATAACTGCTGCTATTACTTTCAAAATGTTTAGCCCTAGTCACCCGTCCCATGCAAAAACTAATTACCTTAACTTTAAGCTTGGACTGCCATACATCGCCTTTTAATGGTCTAGGAAAGAAACACTCATAAGCAAACGTTTCTGTAGCCATTCGAGAGTGTGACTGTTTAGCTGGTAATTTCGCTTTTCATTTTATTGGCAATCTGTCAGTTGATGTAATCTGTAATATCGGATTTTCAGCATAAACAATTAATAGAATATTTAATACGGTTTCTGAATACATCTTCAAGAGCACGTGATTATTCGACGTTTTATGATGAACGAAAACGCATTGCAATATCGCACTTCATGTATTAGTCAAAAAAGATAACATACATTATTAAGCTATCTTTTGCATGACTGCATACAACGACTTATGTTGAAAACAGCTGCATGATTAAAAACCGACATTACTAGCGGCACAACTGTGTGAGGCGCAAACATTTCAAAATCGTGCCAAGTACTTTGTAACGCAGGAATAATAAACAGAGGAAAATGGCATTATTAAAAATAGTTGATGCAATGCTCGAAAGCATTAGGAACGCATACGGTATATTACTGCTTCAGGAGGTATATTTATAGTTACCTAGAACGCAGTAGCATATATTGAAAATGGAAAAGGCTTCAATAGCCTACAATAAAGGATCCCCGAAAGAGAGCGATGATGTTTCAGAAAGCTTGGTCGATTCACTATTTTCAAAACTCAAAATGCATTTAGTCAAACAGAAATATAAGTGGAATGCCAGAATTCTTTTTGATGCTAAGGGTGATTGCTGTTCAGTAGTAGTACTTGCCTTGTGTCCGTGTTTTTTTCTGAGTACTGAAGGTTCCAGTAGTCCCTTACAAACAAGCGCACAGACATATTAGGCAAGGGTAATTAAGTGTTTTTTTGGTTTTCCTCGTAAATCAGGTATTCGGGTCAGCCAATTCAGATATTTCTCTAGATGCCCCATGCCAGTTGTGTTGGCAATGCCAAAGGTGTCATCGGCATAACCAGCTATGAGATTTGACCGATATTTGGTCGTCAGCAAGTGCTTCATTCATTGAAGGACTGTATTAACAATCCGGCCTGCTAGATGGGAACCAACAGATGTACACATGTCTGCCAGAGCTGAGACGGTGTTGTAGGAGCACAAGAAGATCATCGGAATTTACGTGTTTTCTCTCTCCTTAGAGCATTCAACTAGAAGTCGCCCCAAAACTTTTACTGACAGATGCTGCAGAATAGAAGTGAAGAGCGACACGTAATCAAAGGATACGATAGGTTTGCACGACTTAAACTTTAGGTGTTTAATGAGCTCGAGGAATTGGTTCGCAGATGCTACTGTTGTTGATTAGCCTTCGGTGTAAAACCTAGGACGATTGAATATTCATTTTGCCAAACCATATGCTGGAGTGTCACAAAAAGGAAACGATTATCCTGAGGGTTGTATTCGCCTAATGCACTTTTGGGCAGCCCGTAAAAACGAGCCAAAGCGACGTCAGTGCGTTTCATAATGAACCAGTCGCCGGTCCTATTTGCCCATTCTCGATAGTTTTTAAAGCCTTTTGTTTATCTGGATGACCAGCTTAAGTTCCTGCTAGGGCATAGTTTATGCGATTGTCGGTCGCTGACTAAGCCTTGCACCTTGCAGCACACCAAAAGTAATAAGTAGGCAACTACTATACCATCAGAACCACTTCAGAGGCAGTGGAGATTCAAGCGAACTGATCTAAATAGCAGGCTATAAACAAGCAAACGATGGCCAAAGAAGCAGTCAAGGAACATTTCGAGAGCCATTCTCTACAATAGCGCGGTCTCCGAAATGAAACCTTAAATCAAAAGACCATTTGGCCAGCATACGTCTGCTTTCGATAAATTCTATTCAGGCATGTACATTGATATGGCTATTGGAGTAATTAGTCAAAAGATACGGGCAAGTAAATAGTTATGCTGTTGCTCGAGTTCGGAGAGAGGAGGGGAGAACGAAACACCACAATTCCAGTCAGCGCCACGGATAAGGTGGGTCCCGGCGAAGGTAATTACATGCAGGTGGCTGGCTTGGTGCCTTTGAACCATGGCAACTGTGGGACCTGTATGAAGTTCTTTTGTGCACATATGACCGGTCCGCGTAGCCTGATTGCAGCCGCCTCTACCGTAGCTAGCAAACGCTTCTTGACTAGGTTTGGATAGTTTAATGGGACTTTGTAAAGCATTCTGAAGGCCACGCTGGCGTCTACACGGTGGTCTGTGACTACCATGTGCGCGAGGATCGAGCTGTTGATGTTCTTTGTTTGACCCTTTCCTAACCACGCTGAGAGGTGTTTTTTTATTCTTTTAGATAAACTCCGGCTCGTGCAACCAATATATTCTGCCCAAAATGAGCAGGTGAATGAGTAAATACACAATGAGGTGGTCCGAGCTGCGAGTTTGTCCTTGCCCTCTCCGTATTGGATGGGGCTAGTGGAGAACACTACATGGGTGCCAGCTGCTAAAAAGGTTTGTGATAGAGCTTGAGTTAAGCGTCTTCTTAAATGTTTACTTGGTGTCCCCCCTTGAAATGGGGGGGAAGATACTTTTCTTTCCTGCCGTCAGTATTGGGGGCTTTTATGGTCTTTCGGCCATATTATTAGCAATGAATCGATCAGGATACCCGTTTTGGCGAAAACGACTTTCAAGAATTATAAGCTCTTTCTCAACGCTACCAGCTGAGCACATTCCTCTCATTCTTTTTGTCAAACAGCAGAGCAAATTAGGTTTAACGTTTACCGGTATGAAACTCCCAAACTGGGTGTATTGTCCGGATCACGTTTTCGTACTATAGACGCTACGTCGAATGCTGCCGTCGGGTATTCTACTCCAAAGCACATCTAGAAAGGGAAGTGAACCGGGCTGCTTTTCTTCCAGAGAAAATTTCATTGATGGGTGCGTCTGATTCATGTCATCCAGTACGATTAAGAGTTCGCTTTGTTTCGGTGCAATTGCGAATATATCATGCACGCACCGCCCATAGTATCTTAAACCGTTGATCTGGTGACGTCGATGGGAAGCTTCTAACTCTCCTATGAATATATTCGCCAAAAGCGGGCCAAGAGGCGAGCCTATTGCTACTTCATTCATCTGGCTATAGAGATTGTTGTCAAATAGGAACTGCACGTTCGAGGTACACCTCAATAACAATTCCTTGAGGGCATTCATTGTCATTCCTATATCCTGTTGATTGTCGACAGTAAAGTCACAAAGGTAATTGACCGTTTCCGTTACCGATACGTTCGTAAAAAGGGATGAGAAATCTAACGAAAACATGACCATTTTGTTCAAATTGAGGTCTCTCATGGTGTTACTGAATTCAAAGGTATCTCGATAGCTATGTGGCGCTGGTTGATATCGCAGAAGCTTAAGTTTCTTCGCCAACCATTTCGCTATTGCATGGTACGGCGAGTTCCTCATATCGAGAATTGGACGAACAGGTGCGCCATCTTTGTGGATCTTCGGCAAACCGTATAATCGAGGTATATGTGTACTGACGGGTCGGACATGCTCTACATCGTGTTCTCTTATGCTGTAACAATCGGGAGATGGCACCCAAAATTCCGCCTAACCAAAGCAGCCTGTCTTACGGGACAGGTGGTAATAGGTGTTCTGTGGGTTGCGGCTGGTCGGGATGTACGATACTAGCCGACAGAAAGCCTTATTTGAACAGATGAATGATCGAAGTTGACCTGTGCTCCGTTCCGTTATTACAAAATGGCTGCCGTCTCCCGATCGTTACCCATCTTTGTTCTGCCGGAGCTGCTTTAACTTCTCAATGTGTGACTTCGTCAGCAGGTCCCGATATTTCTGACGACTGTTTAGGTATTGATAAGAACAAGTGACTACCGTAGACTTAAGATGTTGTACGCTCTCTGTCGAAACTGGCTGAAGGTCATGTGGTTGATTGAAGAGGTTCTCGAATTGTGGCTCTAACTCTAGCTGGTTGGGTTTCTGGCGAGGACAGCAAAAGTAAGGACCCAACGATAAGGCTTCAATCGATGTTTTATCGAGAGATAAGGACGAATAATTGTGTACGTACCGACTGGGATCTTCAGGAATCTTAGATTGTGGTTCGGCCTCACAAATACTCCGCAGAAGGGAAGCCCTCTTGATTTCTCCACGTTTGTTTGGAATGGATTGCACACTCTAAAAGCTTAACTGTTACCATCCGCCAGAGTGGGCATATCCCATCGACCCCAGGTACCAATCCAACTCCATTCGATACAATTTTAAAACGCGTTGTCATCCATTGAAACTTCAGCTGATGTCAATCGAATTGGTTGCCATAACAGGGACTGCATTTAGGTTACAGATGCCAGACTGAAACTGTTGACCCGCCTACAAGAGCACAACTCGGAAACTCGGAAGCATGACGCAAACTCTCAAATCGTAACGCACGTTATACAGACTGGTCATCCCTTTTACCTGTGAGGTGCTACCACAATAAGTTCGAAGAAATCCAAGGCATAATGGCTGACATTTGAGGCGTGGTACTGAGACGTAAACTCCATCAATTGGCGTCTGAACCTTCTTGCAGCTAATAAAGTCCTGTGTCATTGCGCTTACAAAATTCAAGAAAAGATGAGTGTACAGAACTTAGGAATGCCGCGCGTAAACAGCGCGACGAAGAGCCGACTCGAGGAAACCGGAAAAGAGCCGCCTCAAGATCGACCAACTCCGGCAGAAACTCAACCACCGAGTCCTCCGATGAGGTGGTGACTCACAACACACACACAGGTGAAACGCCCGTTAAACATCAACCCAGCTGGTGAGGCTGCAAGATTTCTATTTTTTATTCTGTTTACCCAAGTGCATTTACGCCTTGACGTTGATGAATTGACGGACCTCTCTGAAACTTCGGCGTTCTGCTTGAACTGGTTCAGTTAACCTTTTTTATTAGATTATCCCCCAGGATCTTTCGACTATGCCAACCTAAACGAAGATGAAATTATGGTTATGCTAACCTTTCCTTATCACATTAGTCGACGCCTACCTCCAAAAATCCTTTTACTCCACCTCAGCAAAAAGAACTCGTTAGAAATATCATAAGAAGGAGCAGTCCATATGCAACCTTAGTCAAGGCGTGCGTGGAAATTAGCCAGTGCTACTTGCGAACTAGTTAACTGCTAACGCTTTAGATAATGCTTTTATAAAACACCGAACTTTGAGGATGAATGTCCTAGCAAAAATTATAAATTAGGTAAACATAATGTAATGCAAAGGTTTTTTCGATGATTTTTAGTAACTGTTTTTGGTATTGATGCACTGCCAAAAATAAGGTAAACACTACGAACTGGTAAAGACAAAATGCCAATTTCTTGTTGAATCTGCCCAAACCTCCTACTGTGTACACTTACGTAGTCAGCTTTATGGATGGGAAGGAAAAGGATAATGGACATAAAAGACCGTCATGAAATTTTCATAAACCTTTGCCCTAAGCTGCATATGTCAAAATGCAGGTGCTAAGTTCATAATGCATTCGATCATTATTAAAGGGCTTACTTACCGATCTGACATATCTTAGGCACCAGCTTCGGATAAGAAAGCTTAGGAATATAGCAGGTGAGCTGTAACCGACGACGTCGTCGTGGAGAAGACTTGAATAAAACAAGCAGACGTGTGTTTCTGTTATTGCGTGACAAAAGTACGGGGCTTCTTTTGCCGTTTGTCCCCTGGCCTTTTCTATGCATATTTAACTTCAGGTTGTTTTGTTCTGCCTCGTTAATGTCTCTGGAGGTTTGAGTTATTTCGTAAGAACATTTTTTTCTCTGACATGAGGAGGTTGCTCAGAATGTTTTGATTGAAGTCCTTTAATCGCGGCGGAATATCCGCGCCATATTCATAAATTCTCAACCGCACGAGTTGTAAAAATTAAGTGCTCCATGAAGATCTAAGTAACCTGATCCGAAGCTAGGACAACCATGTTGTCGTCTTGTCGTGCTCCAAATTAATCATTTTTGTCTGAGTTATATGAAATTGAACTTGAATGATCTTATGAAAAAAAGAGAGTTCTGACAGTCATCTGGTCACAGTTTATAACGCAATGGCCCCCAACACTCACGGCATCAGTAACGGTCAGCCCGACGCGGAACTGTAGATCTCAGAATAAACGTTTAAAATAATAAATGCTTGCAAGCCAAGTGCGTAATTTACATTTACCCTACAAGCTGCTCATTACAGTAGCATGTTCTTAGCGCAACTTCCAGTAACATGGGTCTTCCCGATATTGGTCGGTTATGTGTTTTCTTTGGCTAGCCAGGCTAGGATATTGTGACATGAAGATAGCGCAAATATTACTTACAATCGAACAGTCTGAAAATTAACCCAAAATATCAAGCGAAATAACAAGCGAAGCTGATTGCATGCCTTAACGATATTCACTGAGCTGGCAATCATTGACAACCATCTAACTGGCTGGTCAGTGTGTAACGTAAAATTGCCGGTTTGGTGGGTCTACCAATTCCCTTACTGGCTTATTTACTATGCGTCTCAACACGCGTACTGCCATTTACTTTGTGAAGAGAAACCTAATCGGGAAGGCATCTGCTGCCGGCGTGGTCGAAATGTCTTCTGATGAATCACCGTTTATTTTTACAAGACCTTTACTCAGATGCCGGCTGGTTTGCGACTCAAACTGGCCAATCAAGTATCCATTGGCCTCTTATTGGCTTTTAACTTTGAGCGTCCCTTTGCTTAACGGCATTAATTTTTTCACTCGTATATCCAATTTTTCTAAGAACCAAAGAGAGCGCTACACTGCAAAATCAATGCGGTAAGTACATTCATTTACAAACACTGGATGTATTATAGCTCTAGACTTACATATAATAACAGAAAGATAATTTTTTGACTTTCTTTGCATTTTACTCTGGAAATGCACTTAAAAGCGACTTGATGTACACATCGAATACATTTTTACTCGTATTTCTAATAAGGTAAACGTTCATCTTGCAAATGCCTGTAGATCTTAGATACTGTCTAGCCGGGCGTTTGCTGCGCAGTCACGATTTACTCCGATTTGATAGTCAGAAATGCAGCTGGTTGACGATAAACGTTTAATTTTATATTTTTTGGGAAGGCATGGTTTATTATTTAAAATCAGAGCCATTTTGTTGCACTATAAGGAAAAAAGTGCGAGTTTTCCATTCGGTAGTTTAAACGCACATAGACAAGTGAAAGAAGAGATAGCTTACTTTAGCTGCGTCAGTCTTGACAAAATATCACATTTTATCCTTTTATCTATCATTACACAACGTCGAAGGTCCTATTTTGATAGACAGTACACGCGCTTAGTATCGCATTGTCAATCGGACGCTGTAATGGTTGATTTTATGAGGGAAGAGCCTTTTTGCTGTGCGTACTTTTCCACGTAATGCGTGCAGGCTTTTGTAAAACTTTGTTCGCTTGCACATTCCTTTGAAAAGCGACGTCGATTTAGTTCACTCTAGATCACTGTTTTTACGCAAAATTGATAAGGCGTTTAACTTAGAGTGTCCACGGCTTTTTGTAGTTAAAACCTTCAGATTAGGAGGTCAGAAGCCACTAGGATTTTCGGCATTGACAGAAAATTTTAAAATCCCCTCAAAGATAAAAAGCAGCCTTGGAGTTGAATTATCGGAAGGTCAAATTTGGCAATTAAGATCTGTTGCATTTCCCTGGCATTGCAAACTTTTAGCCTGGAGAACATGATTTAAAGGATCAACCCGTTTGTCCTCCAAAATTACACTGGATAGTTAACAGCAAAGGGGAAATGATTTTGTTTATCTAATGCTCCATCTTAAACAACAAGAAGCATAAAGCAAAATACGCTATTCGTTTTTTTCTTTTTGTGCCATCTGCTTGGAATAAAGGGTAATTTGGTGCTCGATTAAGATGTTTGAAATTACTTATTTTTGGCAATTATCGTGGCACGAGAAACTGTGGTGCTATAAAAGTGTACACAGTTTGGTCAAGGAGAGTGCCTTCTCCAAAGGGTTCACATCGTAGCAACCGAGTTAGTTTCCAACGTCTTATGCATTTCAATACCAGTTAATACAAAAACAAAGTAAATTAGATGGTCATGAGCCGTACATGAGCTTTTAATGATTTGTGGTATTTTTGAGGAACATGTCAAAATAATTATTTTCAAAATCCCCTAACACTCCGCAACCTTTAGTATCATCGTAAAAGCAGTTCACTGATAAGTTATCAGACTACGCTCGCCACAATTTTTTCCTTCCACGAACACTGTAATGGTTATTTCGATCTATCTCTTGCTTGTACGTTCCCCTTTTGCATTGCAATGTCTAGGTTGTGTACGATTGCAACACTGCAAAGCTTGTTTCTTTACAAAATCAGATTGGTCAAGCGTCACATCCGCAACAAGGAACTGGCATAAGCTGTGACTTGCTGTGTCCATTTTGAACTAGGTTTAAATTGCGTTATACAAACTACAGTGGGGTGAATGGCAAAGCAATGTAATCAGCTTGAGGTGTGCAAATGATGATATGATGTTGGCGAAAGACACACCCATTTTTAATATTATTTTCGAATATTTTACTGTTGCCATGTCCGTAAGCGATCCTTAATCTTGATTAGGGGAACCCAGATAAAAATGCCCAATATCATCCGCCCGAAACCACACTGGGTTTGTATACACTGTGTGTTAAACTTTCTACTTACAAATAAGGTATGCTTTGGAATGCCACACTTCTCCTGAACAGGAGTTCCACCTAGGGTCCCAATAGCAATAATAATGTTTCCGGTAGGGCATTAAAGCAAGTATCACCGTTATGTGAGTGGCTTTGCGCTATATTCAGGTAATTTGTTGGGATGTTTATTAGGTTAGGGTTAACGGTTTTGAACGGAAACAGATATCACTGGAATTAAGAACGGATGCATCGATTATTTACAGGGGAAACCAAATATCCTTAGCATGACCTATGTCTAAATCAAGAAAAGTATAAGCAGCATGTGAATTAGATGTATTCTTGAAACTGTGTTTTGGACATTTGTGTTTCCTGTAGATATTGGACTATGTACGGGCTCGATCAGTTTTACTTCAAAAGTGACTGATAACCACATAGAATGCACAGGATTAGTTACTGTTTTTTAAACGTCATCATGTTGTCTAAATAATAAAAAATCCTAAAAAAAACAAAGTGTCAAAACATACGTGCGTCAGGTAGTTCTGTACGGCTTCTTAGTTTGATAACTTAGAATTACGTAGGCCAACTAAAAAGCAGGAGTTTTAATTAGCTCAGAATACTTGATTTAATTAATCGTATGATATAACGATTCTAAAACCAGTTCTCACTGCAATCGCATTTAAAAAGTCCATCGGCTTTGCTGTTTCATAAGTTGAACAGGAATAACCTGTGCAGCTCGCAAAGACTTTTAGTTAACTGCATGGCTCATCACATCGCCAAAATATACGAATGTAATATTACAGCTTTGACATTTCTCCTAACATCAGTCAAAAGAGTCTTCAACTCACCTACAGGAAGATGATTGCTTTAAGTCCAAAATCGGAATAATTATTCATGAAGAGTAAAATAATGGTTGCAGAGAAGAGAAAATGCTGCAATCAAGCGGTAAATGTTGCCATTCGCAGAATTCAACAGGAGTAAAATTTGTTTCGAAATGCAAGGGAACCTTAAACTGATGTAGACGTTGATGTCATTGGCTTAGTGCAAGTGCCGCATACGACGGGATGTTTGTTGCATATGCACAGCATGCGTCAGCAGTATAACACACTAATGCGTGTTATTTGTAAATTAGCAGAAAGTTTTGGGATTTTACGCTAAATTAAGTCACAGTTAAAGAAATCTGAAATCACCATTGTGTGGCTGACGTTTTATTGCCATATAATCAACTTCAACCATAAGAAGGATGGGTAGTAAATAATATTTGCTTAGAAAGGACCGAAAGCAAGCTTATCGGAAATGAATTTTACCTATCAGTTCCAACTAAATGCAGACAGGGTCTCTGAAATTTCAACACGCTTTACTTCATCACTGGCATGGAACACGTTGACGTAATGCATAAAAAGACCGAAATGTAACAGCGAGTTTTGCAAGGTGGCGATGATTCGTTTTGCTTGACATCCATTAAACAAACACCTAAAACATCCGTAAAAATCAAAGTAAAATTGAAAATGGCGCCTTTATTTGGTGGTAACAATTAGTTTTTTTATCCTCAAATAAGTTTTAATAGCGTTTTCAGCAAGGAGGTACTCAATGCAAACGGCAAATATACGCGCATCATTAAATCTGGGGAATTTTTATCGGTTTTTCGTAAAAAAGAGGAGGCTCCTCTGACGCATTGTTTTTTGCAAACCTACACAAGAAAACGCACAAGATTTGGGAAATTTGATTTCCTTGAGTGTTTTTGGCGAGAATGCTGAATTTTTCAAATAATTAACTAATTGCAAAACGTGGCTATCTACCACAGAGTATGCCGCCATTCCGAAGGCAAAGTCACAGTCCTCCAGACCTCCTACCTAAGTCAAACGATCCCCCACACCTATTGCATCCTCCATCAAACGCCACCTACGTGGCTCCGTCCGATGGGGAAAACAGTAATGGGATTCAGGGCGTCTTCATAAGGCCGCAGACAAAACGACAACCAGTGATTCTGGAACGCCCACAAGTGATGGAAACCTCGGCTGAAAAGCACCCTTTCTTCGTGGGTCTGACCGCATCCACGCACACCCCAGCTACATATAAAAGTGAGTTTCTTTAATATACCGGCCTATTCGCTTGTTGACGGAGATTACGTTACTGACAAGTACTGTTTAGACAACGGAGAATGTAGCCTGGTTGTATAAAGTTAAGTCTATTGTGTATGAAGACATTAAGCTGTGTAATGCAATGTCGTCATCCAAATTTTTAAGAGATTCAGGTCGATGTAAGGGTAAGGTGCTTTTCTAAGTCCCGAAAAGTCAGTACAAGTACAATCTGTTTAATGAATCCACTCCCTCTTCGTCTTTCTTTTTTCGCCTTTTTTCTCATTTGAATAATAGTAAAATTGGTATAGAAATGTGCACTTTAAAAACTCGAAGCTAATTGTTTAGGTAACTTGAAGAGCAAGTCAAAACTGAGGGCAGATAGCGTCTTAATTTTAAATAGAAAGGTCCAATTAAAAGACAATGTGTTAGTCACTGGAGTTAGTGCTAATTTTTGAAGGAAAAAATGATTTATAGAGTTTCAAGCACATTTACCAAAACGAATAAGGTATTAACATGAACAATTTATGACTTGCCAATTACCGAATAAAATTAGATCCCAACGAAACAGCAGACAATTCCATGCCGATTTTTCCTCACTCATAAAGCGGACATCTTGCGGAAGCCAAATTATCCTTTATTACCTTTTTACTTGGGACAAAGTTCAACAATAATGCAATGCAAGTTTAGGCCTGTAAAGCCGCAGACATGCACAAGTAATATTTACCATTCTTCATTGGCGCTTAATTTTGCCTATGTCCATTTTCGAGCCGAAACTTTGCTTGCTTGCTATACGTAAGATCAATCTAACAACAGTCCCCTTTATGGAGGTTTGTCCGAACACCATCACTTCGTATTTCTAACTCCATTAAAAAACAATTTCATGATCAAAGCTGGAGGTCATATGATCGCTTTTGGGATTTCTGGTGAAATTAATTGGTGTTCAATTAATTGTATGGAGGGGGTATGTACCATATTAATTACTTAGCCACCTTAATTGACAACAACAATCTATGTTTTACTATTGATTTTACAGTGTCAGACCTCATAAGGCATAATTATTTGTTTAAAATTTCCACCGTGAATTAATTGCCTGTTCAAGTTAGGTGCTAGTACTTTTATATCAAAGGAAATGATGAAGCTTAACAAACAGATTTGGTTAACACCTTATGCAAAATTTTGTTCTTCAAACAATTCATTAGCATTTAACCGACGTACATGACTATAAGGATGTTTAAAATTCAAATACCGTCATACATTCGGAATTCTGCCTTATTGCATTTTTACGACGAAAAATAGTCAATTAACCGAATAGTTATACCCTAAAAAGCATAAAATGTGCATAATGCGATAGCTTGCCAATATTTCTGACATCGCGCTAAGACGTCAGGTTAAAGCGAGTAAACCGGGCCTCATGTAAGGACATCTCACGAACCATGCGTTTTCCATAAACCATTACAGTTTTCACGCACAAATACCACTTCGCAGATAATATTGCATTTGTGTGTAAAAAAATTACATGTGATTTTTATAATTTATCTTCGGAACGTAAAAGTAGCGCAGCAGGCGTAACTAGCGTCAAACGATGAGTTCGTCTTGATCTAGTTAAACACCGAATCTACATATTAGCAAACCGGCAGATTTTATTAAACCTTTTGTTTTTATTGTGACAAAAAGTCAAAAATGCATAAAGTTTTCTCCTGAAAACGAGCTATTCACCGAAAATACAAACTAAAAGACCTGCTGAAGAATAATTTCGAAGATATTTGTAATAGTTTACAACACAGACATGGAAAGGCCTTATTTCTGTCATTTCAATGGTCAGGAAACGAGATACTAATGGTCATACCCCTCGAGCAGTCTACTGGCATTTACCGCAATGTTCTGCTTTTCAGAATTCCAAGGTACTTTAAGAAATCAAATAATATAGTGAAACAACCAACAGATACATAGCAAGATATAGACGAAGTAACTACTGTTGCTATCAAAACATAACCACATGCGTTTTCTTACGCCAACTTGGAACTGTCTAACGATTTCGCCAAAGCTTTCATCAGCCTCATTACAAGGCCTCAGTTTCGGTCGACAAATTTTCATTTGAAGAGGTCTGAGGTCTGGGGGTGTATGTTAACATTGGATGTAGTGGCACAAAGCCCATAGAAATGAAGTCAAACTAAGGAAATATTGTTCTCCATCCTGACCGAAATGGTTTCGATAGACGATTTTCATTATAGAAAAAAACCTTGACTACCACGAAGAAGAGGAGAACGTAAAAGTAAGCGCTTGCAGGCCTTTTAAACTTACGGCCAATGCTTAGCGAAGAAATGCAGAAACTTTTGATTTTTGAGTCAACACAGCCTGCCAACCTTACTTGTTTGCTTCAGTAATTGCTTTTTGGACGGCTCTTGATGTGTCTTCCGAAATCGTTCCTATATTGAAATATTCGCCAGAGACATTCGTTTAAAATTTGCGCTTCCATTGCAAACTGAGTTATGTTTTTAGAAATTCAGCTACTGAAAGAGCTAATAGAAAGTGATTTCTTGCAGAACGCTTGAATTCTGAGTGATGAATCCGCCGGATCTCAGTGTGTATTGTTTATTTGGATAGAAGCGCGGCTTTCATACTATAAACGAGAATCGTGGACACACGCCTCTTTTAAATGTTTTCTCCGATTAGTTGAGAAATATTTTGTATTTTTTTCCATGACTGATTCACTTGTGAAGCTTTAGAGGCAAACAGCGTGTGACTAAAGGATGCATTTCGCATTTACCATGCTATACATTTTTAGTTAGCCTGGTTTTTGGGAAATAGGAAAAACATTTTTTCTCATTTCGAAAAGTGTTTTTGCAATTCCTGTTTTCATACAGCTTCCAACATTTTAGCTGCCGCCTAGGCTGTTTTTGTCCGCATCGTCAACATAGTTTTTCTGCGGAGGTTCCGTAGTGCCTAGAGAAAGCGCGTAATATTCCCATCATTTGTTTACTGCAGTATGGGTGAATCTATTTTTTCTTAACAGTCATGGCGCAGTGGTATGCGTTTACAACATTTTATCAAGGAGACTAAATAAGATACAGAAATATATGCCCTTAGGAAAATAAGAAAACTTTATCGTCCCTATTATTCCGTGTTTGTTTGCTTTTTGAATGCCGGCGCATAAACTGATCTAAAGGACATAAATGCCCCAAAATCTGCTGAAATGTGTAACCCATATGCAGAGCTAAGCACGGTTTAAACTGTGTAATTACGCTTAACTGAATAATCTAGGCAAACCAAAATCTTATGGCACTTACAAATTCAGTTTCATTTTGTGAAAGACCTACTTAGAAATGACCAAACTTTCCAAAAATTGCGTTTTTGTAAATCAGTCGCACCTTTGTTTCAGATATGTACTGACTTGTGATCCAAACTCTTTAAGCGAATTTCATTTATATCATATTTTTTCATGAATTCTGATAATAAATTAACCAAAAGCCGGACATTTTTTTCCTGTCATTTGTTACCTGCATAGTTCATCTTGGCAGTGAATGAAAGGGCAGGCACATGGACCGTTTAATTTACTATCAAGGGCTCGCTGTGGGTTTCAATAAAGATGCATTCCGTTTCAGTTGCATAAGAGCAAGATTAGGGGAATTGACAGATAAAGCCCTTTGAATAGCCGTTTTATTAATATTTTCGCAGCAAACAGACCTCCATGCGTGTTAGCACGCGAAAATTTAACGATGTTCTTGTAAAATGCAACGGCATATGTTGGCTTAGACGTTGTGTGTTTGAGAAGCATGTTATGGCAGTTCACTCGTCGGAATTACATAAGTTAACGTTTTCTCACGACTGGCGATCCGTAAAAGGGAATCATTTTGGATTTGCAGTTTGGCGAAATTCCCGCCATCAGCAGGAGGAGTTTAGAAAGCACCAGATTAACTAGAAAATTACAGAAGAGATGACGTTTTTAGTAAGATAAAATCATTTGTTCTTTGTGCATGTTGGCAGAGACTGCCACAAACACAGGGGGGATTGGTATATCTTGTCATCTGATTTCACTGAACAAAGTTAGGGGAATAACATGTCAAGTGTAGCACTCACCTCTCAACTTTGGTTCAAAATAATATGGGCGAGAAAATATTTCGGTTAAAGGCAAAAGCGCTAAACGTACATGAAATCGTACAAAATACAAGGGAATTGCCTTGCATGAAACATGTTTCTAGATGTATGGTCAGTAATGGTAGAGGCTGGAAATTTCTGATGGAAAAATAAGGATGTTGATGTTCAAAAAAAACTTTGTTTCTTTGGTTCTAACGCACTTGTACGCCAACGTTCTGGGGTCGATGTCAACCCTTTTGCTTTACCTTAAAAAACCAATTGTAATATTACATAGGTCAACTAGATTTGTTGATAATCAAGGGTTTTTCTTGCAAACTTATTGCAATGCAATCCCCTCTTATAGTCACTCATACGCAAACGTTTCCACCAGCGGTTCGAACGGTTGTGTGCAGATAATATCCGGACAGAAAACGAGAGATAATATCTCATAGGACTGCTCTGTATGTATTGATGCTCACCGACAAACAACGTCTTTTAGTATTTGCCTGTCATGCACGATAATGTGTAATTTATTGGCTATATGTGTGCAGATGCTGAAAGGTTTATCAAAGGTTCCGTGCATTACTCTCTAACTGTGCATTTTTTTGCGGAAAATCCAGACCAAGTTGCCTCGAAGGCGTTGATTATTACACTCTCGGTGACTTTCGGTCTGATTTTCATCTTCTGGTGCTGCAAACGCTGTCTCCCCAAACGCAAAAAAAGACGCAATGGCAAAAAGTCAACGGCTATTGATGCGGAAGACACCAAGGCGATCCGCTTTGCCTCCTCGCTTACAAAACAATTGGTGAGAAAGTCACTTAAACACTTTTTACAGCTTTTAGTCCCCTGTGCAATCGCAGAGAATAAACAAAAAGGAAGTAAAAAACAGTTGTTTGAAAGCCCGGGTTTTCAATCGAGCCATTCGACCGCTGCAGGCCAGTCACAGTGAACAGAAACATCGTAGTCTTCATTAGAATTACATAAGATGGCTTACACAGGTGATTTGCACGCAAACCAAAACGCTTGCATGCCGTCAGTTTACTTTGTGTCCCACGCGGAACGGCATAAAAGCGGTCCAGTTAGCGCAGTCAGCTGTAAACCTATAGTCAATTCATGCTACTGTGACACTACTTAATCCCTTTCCTTTATGTTACTTTGCCTGTTATGTAGCTACACATTGCTTCATCGCAAACGCCTATAATTCGGGCCAACAGAGCGAAAAAATGCGTCTTCGTAATGATTTCTGTAATTAACGAAAAATACGCGTGTAAAGAATCCTAATTTATTATTAATAACCACTGTTAGCTCTCACTTTAATTGATCCAATTAGCTGCCCTTTCAAACAGGACATAATTAACGTTTCTTGTTTAATTATTTTGCAAGGAGGACACGGAAGGCTTGACGGCAAATATGGAAGAAAATGAGGACAGCTGCAACGACAAGCAGGGCAAGAAAAAGGCTGATCTTGGGTCGTTGCAATACTCCGTGGAATTTGACTTCCAAAAGAATGAAGTGAGTAGATTGTGCAAACGCATTGTAGACTTTGCTGTGCTTCACACACTGCTTATTTGACTTACTGCCCCGTCAGTCTGTTTTATCTACGTAACGATCGGCGCCGCCGCAAATGAATTTCGGAAATGCGAGTTTTAGGGTACGGGGTTGTGTGGTGACATCAATATGCCCTTTAAAATAATGACACAGAGTCCATCTATACGTCTCAATAGGTCTTTGCACAGGAGATCATTATTTTTTGATTACAGCCTAACACCAAGGGGTGATTAATCAAGGATTCGTACTATGCTTTCCATGCGAAAACTGTTCCCAAACATTATTTTCAACACCAGTGATTAATTAGAAATGAATAACTGTGAGTAAAGGCAAGAAAGTATTGCATAATTGCCGACTGACTTAAAGTTCTGGCGCCTGTGGCATCGTTATAATGTCAGCCAAACATTATTTGATGTGTAAAATTAAATAATCGTAAAGATAATTAGCACATGTAAATGTACACCAATGTGCGTTAACGTCCTAAATGTGTATGATTTTCCTTGGTTAAATTCACTCAAAAACGTACCACCATTATGATGCCGTAGCCTGACGTTTGCCAAATGTTGATTATTTTTATCACCTTTACCGTACGGTCATCTATGATGCCATTTATAAATGCATGTGCCTAGAAAGAGTGCATATGGGCGTGAATATCTGATAAAACTCAATGATACGGTGACTGAAGCACCGATGGAATACTGATTTCTCAGCACGTATGCAATGTTATTTGCTTTTTTCACATTTACTCGAGTCCGTCAACATCAAAAATATACTCAGTTAAGTTACCTTGTTTTCCCAAAGAACGTATTTGCTTTCAAAATACACATTTCTATATATCAGTGGAGAAACAGCTGAGTCTGGTGCTAGGCTCGGCTTACTTCAGCCAATCATAACGCTGACCACCAGCTGGGAGCGAAAACTCGCGCTCACACACCTGGCACAACTGGGTGCACAACCTGGGTCCCTTAGATGGTGGCCCTAGCCGATAGACAGGGTTATAATTGACTGGACAAAAACAAGCAATCCCAAATGAGTTTTCTATTAATCTACTCACAGGGGTCAGTCGTTTCCTCTCTGCTATCATAGCTTGACCGATCTGGGCCTGGAAGATGGCTGGCTGTTCGTGACTCCTCCGTAAGAAGCCCGTTTCCTTCGGGAAGCCAATGGATCGGTGTAAGCCCATTTCTGAGTGAGTGTGTATATACTGCGGCGATGAAACAGATCGCCTAGTTTGAAGGTCTCGTTAGTAAATCGTTAGACATTTTGTTCATGCGGGGTCATTAGTCCCTTGCTAGCCAGCACCGCTATATGCCGAATAATTTACTGACAAAGTATTCATACATAGAAAACAGGATGATAAAGAGTGTGAAAGTGCTGATTAATACCATGTCGTCATCCGTCGATTACGGTTTTCAAAGAGATTTGTGTCTGTATTTGTAAGTGCCATAACCCCTAACCCTGACGCCTAACAATAACTCCTAACATTAACTCCTGACGCTATCCCATAACCCTAACGCCAGCAGCACTGTGTCCATCGGGAGGGGCTAACAAACCACATCTTACCCTTATCTTAAGCAATTGATCTATCGCCGCGACAGCCTATATCATGTGTGGGTTCTTATTTCGCTTAAATACATTTTCAAAAAGCATCTTTAACATAGCGGTTTGTTTATGGGCTACCATTGTGTACATCGTTTTATAAAACAAATCCGAAAAAGCCCTTAAAATATTCTTATGGACCTAATCAATTTAGTGACAACCCTACGGCTTGTGAATAGGGTGAAATTCCTTTTAGGTTGTCTATCTTTAACAGTTAATTTAATGTTTTCATCTCATATACTGCAGAATCATTCAACGCAAAATGCCCATTTTATGGTCAGTCAAATCTCAGCTAGAGCAGAACGACAGAAAAAGAAAATTTTGACAGTTTTGTATGCCATGGTGTAGCGGTTATGACTTTCTGGATTTCATTGTAAGTGCTGAAAGTAGGCAAACACATTTGCAAGCTCCATAATTATGTATTTTGCTGTTTAGTCGCTCTGGCGTTTACAACTCGCTCAGAAACGTCATTTGCAGTAGGAAAGTCTTTTCTTTACAGAGCAGAGTAGCTGATGAGATCTCCCGGTAAACATTTATTAGTATGGTTCATAAATAAGTTATTACATGAGGTCAGCCGTTTTCCAGCAATTAGAAAGCATAAACTGCGGGTTAGACCTACTGACTCTTCCGATTTCGGTGATCCTGCATTATCAGTTTTCCCATCTGCCGAACGCGACTGCCAAATGTGGCGCATTTATTAATTTAGCTTACTCTTTGTTCTCCGTGAACTCGCGTCATTAATTTTTTTTAAATTGCGAGTGAAATTGAGATTTTTATAAAAAAACCGAGCCCTAGTACACCATGCGTCGTTTGCTAATCAAGTCACAATCACGAGTATGATAGTTGTCTTAGTAAAGTGCACAGTTAAGTAAACGCTATCTACACCGAACTTTTTAGACGTTGATGATATGATGACAGTGCCTTCGTAAGCATTGATGTCCATTTCATTACGAATGTGCCTGCGGATTTAAGACAATTTGTAGGTGCTACGGCTTCCCTTATAATTGCATAATTTTCTGTGCTTTAGGGGCCCGATGTGTAAATTATCCGGCGTAAGCCAGTAGCAAGTTAATATCTATGTGCTTAACTTTATTAGTTCTTATTCCAACAGTATCACATGCTACGAGGCGCAGAACAATAACCGAGCTTCCTTATTATAAGCACGCTGAAAAAAAAACTCGAAAAAGTATGCTCACACTGTTTGGTTATTTTTTGGCGGTTACGCTCCACTAGCGATTACTCCTCATATCTAAAAGGTCAAAAACACTTTTAATACATGCAACTGATTATATCAAACGCTAAATTAAAAAAACGGTGCATCAGAATTTGAAACCTTGTGATTTACCCAACGTCGTAATCCATTGATTTATTGTTTTTAAACTCGTATACTTCCACGAGGCTAAATAGATTTTAAAAAAGGAAAATTTGCAGTGCCTCGTTGGTTTATCTCCGGTAACCCACGGTTGACCAATTAGGGCAAAAGTCGTTCGTATCATCTTAATGCTTACCCACCTATAGAACAGTTTTCTGTGAAAACATTTGAGTTAGACACGGAAATATAGATCGCCGGATTGCTGCAATTGATTCGTATTCCACGTTCTAGCTTTAAACTTAACCAGGGGAGCAATTCTCCTGACTCTAACCCTGACATAAATCCTCAAATACCTAACCATCCACTGGATCTCTTTAACTCTAATTCAACTCCTTACGACCAAAACTCTAACCAAAACATTAAACTTTCACCTAAAGCTAACTGTTATAACAATTCGCACTGAATTGCAACTCCCCCTCCCAAGAATTTTGGGCAAAGCCACCTATATTTCAATACTTAATTGTGATTTGCGTGCGGTTACGATAGTTTGATCAATTTTAGCCTACAACCAATCATTTTGTATGCTTATGGGCGTCCTTAACTTATCACTTACTTGTTTCTCCTTATTAGGCGCACCTACGAACCACGCATTGCAAATGATATACGGCGTGTATCCCCTAATGAATACCGAAAACTTCCATTATGTCATGTGCATGTGCTTGAGTCGGGCAACTGTTTTATTTTGACGTTTAAAATAGGCGACGTGATTGCAGTTTATTTTGTCTAATGGGCGACAGTTTGCTAACATAGCATGCTTGTGTAGACGATTCTTAGTCGAAGGCCAGAATGAACAACAGGTTAAAGTTTTACCCTAGCAGACACATTTTACTCTTCTATGAAACAATCCCACCATTTCCTCCACGGGAAATGAATACTATTTACCTCCCACATATCTTGTAAGCTAAAAAGCCATAAACTGCAGCCTATACTTACAGCTTACGCAGCAGAATTCTCACAGCGTGACCTGCATTAAGTGGTGTTCGGTGTACGTGTATGTATGAAGACAGTATTTCTAAAACGCCGGCGACTGAAGGAGCACGGTTTTTTTCAATCACTACTCATGGATAACCGACCTTGATTGCCCAGCCCCAAACAACCCCACTAATTGCGTCTACATTAGCGCTATCGCTGTGACAAACCTTTCGTTTTGCCTGATGAAAATACTTCGAAATGCAGATATGTTTAAGCTGCAGGCGAAGGATATTTCTTTCGTACTTAAGTTTTAATATAAAGCATGCGATCTGATAACTTATATCGTTATTTTTGCGTATGGTTGTGTCATCAGTAAATGATGAAATAAAATAGATAGAAGGATGCCGGCACTGAGGGTAAGTATTCTGTGTGTAGTCATTAGGGGATGGTTAGCGATTTGATAAAATAATGTCCAGATCTGTTTGAATCTTGCATTGTTTTGAATGCTTATGCCAGAGACGTCAAGGGTGGCATCCCTCTGCTATAGTCAGCTGCAGTCCCGTCAAAGTTCCCTCCTCCTGTGGGAATCTTTGTTCTACCGCTACTCATCCAACGGCTGAAAATAAATCTATATTTGATTAGGTTTTTAATGGCAGACAAAGTCAAATTTTCAATTAACATATTTGAAGGGCAACTTTTAGCTTCCGACCGATGCACGTTCCCGAGTCGTGTGGTTGACGATACTCTGAACATGAGCATGTGGCCGAGCGGAAATGAATGGGTCGCGGGCTTAGAGTAAACGTCATTTATCTTCACTGCTCCCGCATACCTCGTTATCCGCGTCCTGATAAATTTCCCACCTTCTCCGATGCCAAATGTTATAACAGGTACTGTGGCGCCTGGAGATTTTAAAACCTACTTGATAGGATCTAGTATTTACCTCAGTTCTATGCGTGGATCGGGTATAAGTTAGTCCGACAGATAGGTTATTTCATATAAGCTATAGAATAAACATCCCGCTGAAATCCAATTCCCATGCCTTTGAATGCTTGCCATTGTGGCTGGCAAAATGGTCGAGGCTTCAACAGTGTTTAGAAGTGAGTCCGACATAAAGTCTCCTGTCCGACTAGTCCGCAAGCAAGGCATATATCCAGCGTTTTTTTTCCACCGAGCACTTAAAGTGTAACGTAAAAAATCAAAGCGCATTCGTAACGATAACATAACGTCAATAAACCGCAAAGGTAACGAGAGCGAACGACATAAAGAATCAATTATTTCACCGTTATAATACGCGTAGCCCACTGTGAGAATGCAGATTGTTTAAACAGTGTGCCGTTTATCTGACGGCAAATCGGTGTACAGCATATATATTGCCTTGGTCATTTGAACCTATTTTGCGGCGAACGTAACGTCTTATTCCTGACTTGCGTCAACCTCTGCAACCATACATTCGACTTCAACAGTCACCTTAAGTATTCCGTTGTATGCGCTTCATCAGCTATCATCTATTTGCTCGACAGGCATACCCAATCATATGTCCTTTTTACCTGTCTTATTTCCTACGGGGCTTACGAGGTAGTTTTCAGATAGCAAAGAATTATTCTAATAGTTTGAGGGCAGAGCGCGTCTTATTGGTTATTCTTCTTTTCTTACTTGACATTCAACGTGAAATTGTCGCTTACTAGGCCCAAAACTCGAAATCTAACCGAACGGTATTGGCGCAAATATATCTGTAAGTTTAGTACAGAATGAACCAGGATGGACAGAGCAAACGGTAATACTAACCAGTGCCATTAAGCCCAATTGTTGTGTAGGCAAATTTGGCCATTAGTTCACGTCCAGTTACAGACGGTTCAACATTTGCACCCATTCTTATTGAAAAAAATACTTGCTCAGAAGATGAAGATGCGCTCGCTGGAACAAGAACTTTATTGGCCTGACGCTTCGGATTCTCTTTCGAATCCGTCATCAGAGACATTCGCAGATAAAGGTGAGGGTGGCACCAGGAGTGCAGCATTTATAGCACGTGGCTGCCGTGGGACCGTATGTGCACTGCAAATAACAGTTCTCGCAATCACCGCTGGGGTCGTAATTCATGCGGTGGTGGCTTGTCGGTCCGAGTCCGAGTCGTTACTTGCCACGATTGCGTCATCCGTGCTGGATGCTGGTGTGACGATTGCTCGGCAAACTGGCTCATTGTCACTGTGATAATCGCTCGCCCGCGCCCTCCCCACGTGACTGATTCTCCTGCCCAGGGAAAATTGCAGCATGGAATATGGCACCTGGAGGTTATTGTGCTTGTTGATGGATTGCGGGCCTGAAAACCATGACTCGAACAGATCGCGGCTCACGCGGTTGTCACCCCTTTCGAGGATTTCGGTCTCTTGAAATTTGAAGATATGGCCGGGTCCCGTCGAGTGTGCCGCTACCTGAGAGTTAGCGTCTCCCCGCCTCACTGCTGCTGCGTGCTCGGCATTACGCGTGCGGAGTAATCTCCCAGTTTCTCCATCATAGTTGCTCTGTCCGCAACTACACCAGATCTGGTTAACGACTCCAGACGTTTCCTGCCGTGGCAGCGGGTCTTTTGGCCTTATGACTTGGCCCCTGATGGTTGCTTCCGGCCTGTGTGCAACCCCAACTCCAAGTGGTGTGAGAAGACGACTCTCTTCCGATGTGCTCCCGGTCACGACCGTGACTTCACCAGAGCAAACGCTAAAGCTTCGGTCAATTGAAGGAGTGGACTCGTCAGCTGTCAGAACCATACGCATACTGTGCCGCTTGTCATTATTTCCCACGACAGTATTTCGTTATCTATGTTATGCTGTTATGTTTCTGACCGGCTGAGCAGGGACAAAACAGGTAGGTTCTGCGGACAATACTGTCTCCGTTATATGATATGGAGTTACATATTAACCTGCTTATTATAACTGAAAATAAACGCCATCAGCATGGAACTGCTCTTTAATTATGACGATCCTCTGTTTGTTCGTCTTTCGCTTGATGAAGCCATCCTCCCTCATCGCGTAAGTTGTTACAATTTTGCCTTCGAAATTAAATAACAAATATGACAGGTACTTGAGGCCAGTATCTTATAGGGTAAGAACTGGACTTGTAGAACCAACCATTCGAGCACACCTGATATTATGTTTAATTAATGACCTCCATGTATTCTGATGATCAGTACATTCGCGTGCAAATGGCAGTTGTCTAGAGGAATAGTACATGTTGTCTCTGTCCTTCTGTCTTCCCGTATGTCTCTGTTAAGGCCTCCACAAAGGCGGTTTGGAGGGGGTAACTTTTTGCATCTTGTACCCGCGATTGGATGCCATCGTCTGTAGATAATTATTTATTTGGGCTAAGCCATGTTTGCTCTCCATTTAAACCCAGGTCATTGAGAGGACAACTACATTCGCCAGCGACTTCTTCAGCATACTAGCGCCGTTCCATATGCAACCTCAAAGCCGATGAGCTGTGTAATTTTAAAGTGTCTGTATAATAAGGCAGACGAGGTTCAGTGAAAGTACTTGCACATAACTTACTACCCGCACCGGCTAGGCAAAGGAATACGAGCCCGATCGCAAAACAAGTTGCGTTACCGGAGAGTTAAAGTAATGATGAGTGATAATTTAAGTGGTATGAATGTTAGGGAGCTACGCGAAGCCCGGATGGTCCCACATTTCCGTATTCAACCACGGTGCCTTTGAGCCTATCAGGTCTCGATTTGCGCTTGCTATTTTTTCTGGACTTTCAAAAATTATTTTTAAAAAATGCTCCATGATTCAAGCAGCGATTCTTATGCGCACTTACAGGACTTTGTAGAACACCTTTCTAAACCACCTATTTCAAATCATCTTGCCTTTTCCAAGCAGCCCTGTGACGGAAGAGGCTTCCTGGCGTCTCTTAACAAGTCCAGTTTGGAATTTTTTCTGCCGGCATCCTTTAGGCACCGCCTGAAGATACAGCAATTTAGTGGCATGCCCAACTAGAGCAGGCCCATAATGCTGGTCCGTCTAGCCACGAATTAATCTGGTCACGCACCCTTCAGACTGTTGGATGATGGACCGTCTAATTCACCCCGCTTCCTTTTTGGGAGTTCATCACGAAATATTGCAAATAAATGGGTGCAATTCGGATTTTTAGACGAAAAAGCCCAACATCATTTCAGATACTTTTTGTCTTTTAAACTGTTAATCGAATTATCCAGCGCCCAGACCTGACTCTGCATTATTCAGACGAAAGGTTTCATATTTCGCTCATCACTGCATGAGTATTTCCAAAACTGGTAAAACGTCGTATGCATTAACTAAAAAGACCTAATCTACGGTAGAGGTTAATTTAATTTAAAACAGAACTTTGATATCTAGTTAAACTAAAGTTCTCTACTAATAGATAGTCAATTATTATTTTGTCTTCCTTAGTAAATATGGACCTCATTATTCTTTTCCAAACGAATGCTTACCTATGCCAGAATCCCAGCTTAGACTCTGTTGATAATAGTGAGTCTGTTCAAATGTTTAGGAAATCGAGCAGATAGGTATTGTTGCATTGCTCACGTAAAATTCTTGCTAACCGGGGAGACGTTAAAGGTTTCTTAAAACGGTTTTTACCATTCCACGAAAGTTGGAGTCATCACAAAGAAAGCTTTCGTGCTTTAGTTTTTTTAAACTACAAGTACTTAAGTTCATTACCTTTTGAACACGTTTTTTTATAAACTTCAGTTGTCCGTGGGCATTATCCAGGCCACTGGCCTCCCCGCTATGGACATGTGCGGCACCTCCGACCCCTACGTGAAACTCTTCCTACTGCCGAATAAGAAAAAGAAGTTTGAGACCAAGGTCCACCGAAAAACACTGAACCCAGTATTTAATGAGACTTTTGTTTTTAAGGTAAGTGAGGTATCTTCCGTAGTTCTCAGCAACTCTATGGACAGCCCCTTTGTTTACTTTCGTAATGTGTACGACCCGGAAAAGTCAATTTGAACGAGCTCTCAGGCTCTGGTCTGATGATTAGGTAGAGAGAAGATTCAGCACTTCATTATTGTCTTATCAAAGCTTGTTTATGTAAGCAATGGTCTGACATTCGTCTTCATAACCGAGGCGCCAACTACACTCCTCATCACCGATACAGGTAAATTTGTGGTGGAAGGACTAAACGAATTTTGTTTAAGTTTAATGTGAGGGACAGTGTTTGTTGCCCAATAGTGTTCGTAATCGTTATCGATTACTCGTAGGAGTGTAAAGGCGCAAACGATCGTTTGCTTCTGAAATAGCTGTTAGATTTTCTGTATGCTCAAACGCTTGTTTGTACTGAGAGTTTGAAAACATGCGCAGACCTGCCACGCAACGGACTAGGTTAAAATGCGCTTCTAACATGTTAAATCGAACGGCATGCGTTTTTGAACTTATAATTAACGAGAATCAATTCGAAGAAAGTGAAAGATAATGAAATTTTGAACAATTTTTAGATCTGAACTACGCTTTTTGTCAGATACGTTTTAACAAACTAAATTAAAAAAAAACAATAAAGAGGGCGGTAGGCTTAAATAAATTTATTCACAATTTAAATTGATGGCTATCCTATAACTGTGCATCCATTTTAATAGAACAGCCCTCAACTTACCCACTCTCTTCATTCGACAATTTATGCCTTTTTGCGGATGATTGGCGGATCTGACATTAGCCTACTTGAGAACGCAAAATTCTGATGGATGTTTGTGTGAAACTAAAAGCTCTTGGCAGTTCCGATGATTGCTTGGGTTTTTTTATCTGGTGAAGGTGTTTTAATATTTCCTTAGTTTCAATATGATCGCCTTGCGAACGCGTATATGCAAGTAATGACCTAGCTCTACATTGACCAAGAAAAAAATATACCTCTTAATGGATTCGGTATTTGAGGGCCACACCTAAGTTGTGAATGCCCCCAAATCTGAGATTATCGTTTTTGGATGTCAAAATTATGGCCAGCCTCCTCGGTGTGTATAGCACGCTGTGGCTGTGGGTGCAATCAGATATCTGCTAATGTTTTTTGCTGGGCGGGTCCAACATTTTTTGCTCTGCACATCCCATTTGCTGTCTGCGTTATTGTAACATGGGCTTTAGATAACTGTCGCGGATTCCATAAATGGTAACGTAGAAAATTACCCTCCAAACATCGGGTTGTTTTCGGTTGGTCGGTGTCTGTGGGTGTCACATACTGCGTCTCCTTTGCCTTTCTTCATCCTTTGAAGAACAACCTTAATAATTAAGCCTGCTCGTGGAAGCCTTTAATTTGTTTCTGCATCTGCCCGGTAAAAGAAGAGTTGGTTCTTCAGTGGAATCCTAGGACCTCGAGGAACTATTTTGAATGTAAAGGATTATTTCTCCCATCGTAGCTTTCAGATAGAATTGGACTCTCAAAGTTGACCGTTGGTCGTCGTGGAATGCAGGCGGTATATAAGTCTGGTGCTGGATCAAGGGGCATTATTCTTCTTCCTTTGTGATATTTCTTTCCTTATGTTTTAGTTGGAATACGCCGAAATATCTGCAACGACACTCGTCATGCTAATCTTCGATTTTGATCGCTTCTCCAAGCATGATCAAATTGGACAGATCAAGATCCCTCTTGGTTCCATCGACCTCTGTCAGACTTTAGAGGAATGGCGCCCCATCGAGCCCGTAGAGACTGATAACGATCGCGTATGTCTTAATTTGTTCTCTTGCTTTACAAACGCGTTTTCCTACCACACAGCAAGTATTTTTCGAAGATTGTTTCTTACTGACAACAGAATTTAATTTATTCGTGTTAAGGACACCTCTAAAGAGCTTTTATGTATCAACCGCTTGTTACTGTTAGCTAGAATTGTTGACGATTGCTATCAAAAACGTAAGACTTTTGTGCTCTTCCCGATCGCTTAGTCCTCCTCTGCACTTATCCACACCAAATTACAATTTGCTAATCCGTGCTAACATTTAATTCAAAAAGATTTTTTAAATTTAGTGAATTAGAACAACAGTCGTTATCAAAATACATGCACCATTTTAACGATTTTCAGAGTTCCCTTTAATTGCCCTATGCTAATTCAAGGCTTTTATCATCTAAAAATACGAACTTATCATTTCTGCCGACTAAAGAAAGAGTTGAGGTGAGCGAATAAACATTTAAAATGCACTAACGGGCTGTAAGGGTTACTTCAAGCAGACCACAATTTGTCTTTGCATATGAGACAACAACCCAGACCTGTGCTGTCATTTGATTGCATAATGAATTTCGGTAGCTTTAACGCATATATGACAAATGCAAAGGCTTGTATAATGTGCGCTGACACGTTTGGTTTGAAACCTTAATGTAAAAAAATGTTATCATTGAAAAACACTTAAAAAGTGCAGAAATGGATTGTTACGCAGAAAAAACGTGCGTCCTGAGAAGAAATCAGCTGCATAAATGTTACCTCACTTCGATAGGGATTGGTAACCATTTAGACTTTAGGGACGATAACCTAATTAATTGCATGCTGGAATGTTTACATGTTAGTCTTTCCAGCAGCATAGTATTGCTGTTAGCCGTTTTTCGTTTAATGCAAAATATGTTTTGGTAAAACTTTATCATAAACCAAAGAAGTTGTTTTCATATGCATTGCTGAAAGTACGCAAAACGTAGGTTTGACTTTTTCTAAAAACTTTGTTTTTATGGCGAAACCCTAATGATGCTTGATGGAGTTCCCCGTGGCTCAGGCCGGAGTAACTGATCAGATATTAAAAACTAGATTAATATTACCATAACATGAAATATTTCGAATCACAAATTGCTTACAAATACAGCTGTATTAACGGGAACATGAATTATTGTAAAATAAGTCAGAACTCGAAAAGGCTATATAGAGATTTCAATGCATAGTACTAACAAATTGAAGCTGTTGCTGAGTTTGCTGACGGCAGCCTTCAAAATAACAGATTTTAAACCAGTTCCTACTAGGTCTGCAATTTCGCATGGGCCAACCAGCAATAAGAACACTTTAATAAATCTCTCATCGTACATCTCGTAAATCTCCAACTGTGTATTAAGCGATGTAATCTTCCTGAGTTGTTTCATTCTGCCTCCTTAACCCGTAAGCATAATTGTGTTGTTGTCGAAATGTAAATTAAATATCTGCCTTTGTCGTTTCCTTGTTACAACACTGCCAGTTAGCTGTTGACGTTCTAATGTCACAGTTGATAGATTTCAGCAGATTGATAAACCTGCCTATGATGTAGCATTTAGTGCGTTTTAAATAACATAATCTACATCTGTATTGGCGAACTACATAATAAAACAATCTGCATTAAGTGTGCTAAATCGTGCAATGTTAACCGAAATTCTAAATGCGTATTTCACTTGACAAGATTACCTAAATAAGGTCGCAATATTAATTACCGTGCTGAATAATCCCAAGATATTTTAGTTGTTTTGAAACAACAGCGTTTAAATGAACTTCTTTTCGACTGCCTGAAAAAATGCGCACTCTATAAAAGATGACTACTCAAGTAGAATGACATTTTTATTTGGTTTTCGGCAACCTTTATAATTCAATTACACATCACAGAAAACATTCTTAACAATATTCATTTCTTTGCCCAGATGGTAGATAATTGCGTCCCCTTTAAATGTTATACTTTAAAAAAGAGCATGATTCGGTTTTTAAGATGTTTGGAATTAGGAGATGATTTTAAGACCGTGAATTACCCGTTCATAAAACGTCGTTTCTCTGCATATGCTAATGTTGCTTGTAAAGTTTACAATATGGTCCTTTTCCACAGCTAATTTGAATGAAATCCACATTGTTTCGTCTCAATAGGATAGAGGGATCTGCGATTTTCCGTAAACGGAAAATGTATATTCTGTAGTTTGGAAACCCTAGATGCTGGTGCAACAAAAGGTCGTATTCAAAACCATTTTGGAATTGCGAATGTTCTTCTAAACCGAACAATTCAGGCACAAATTTGAAGCAGACATCCTTTGACCAAAAAAGTAAAAGAAAAAGTATTTTATATGCGCCCCCTACGACATATTTACCAAGGCATCGAAACTCAGTAAGAAAAATTAATCCGACATAAGTAGTCATTTTTACAGTGTGTTTTTCACAGGCAATCGGAAAAGAATTTATTCGAAAACCAACATTTGAATCAACTGGCATATGATAGGATTATGCAATACCGTAATTGTTATTACAACGCCAATGAAGTAGTCTTTTCTAGTCGAAAATACATTTTGGGATTTCGGTTAACATTTCTTGATTTAGCGAAACTGAGCGCGATCTCTTAAGGTTATGTCGAATTAAATACTTGTTTTATTTGATACAAAGTGCCATTTTACTGCACAGACACAATTTGTTTTCTTCAAAGGAGAATCGTTTGGGTGATATTTGCTTTTCCCTACGGTATGTGCCAACATCCGGTCGGCTTAATGTAAATATTCTGGAGGCAAAGAATTTGAAGAAAATGGATGTGGGCGGTTTGTCCGGTAGGTTGCCCGTTCTCTTCTCACTGCCTCCCTAATGATCCATAGTTATATTGACTGAATAAATATTTTGCTGTTGTCAATATTTCCAATGCAAGGGTAATTCCACATATAATTGATTACGCTTAAACTAGTTTTGCCGCGTCGTATGTTATGAACGCCCCATTTTCTATTTAAAGACAGATGTTATTGAGTTTAAGCCGTCTTGACAACCAACGGTCTGTTTTGCCCACTGAAATTGTTGTTAAAATTTACCTCTGCAAACACAGTTTTTAATAATGTGTCTAAAGTATGTGATAAGCAGAAATGCGTTTTGCTGTTCCGTGGTTATATTTCTTTACCAGATTTTCACTTTTACATGCCCGGTTGTTTTTTTCTTATGCAAAGTATTAAAGACCGCTGTAATTTTATTTCTGACTAGAACGGAAGCAGCTGTGATTAAGCCGAAGCAAGTGGCACTATAACTTTAGCCTTCTCAAGACAAATATCGACAATTTTATTAGGTTTAACCAATGTGAAAGCATGCTAATTAGGCCTAAGCTAATCGTGCTTGAACGTGGAAGGAACTGTAACACGTGTTTTACCTCCAATTTTTTTTAAAATATTTCCACGCTTGAATTACTGCTTGTGCAACGCAACATGGGTTTCTTCCTGATCGCATTGCTAAAACAACTGATCACTGTAGCACAACGCGTATTGGACACTTCGAAACTTTAAGCTAGAAATCTAGACCTTTTTGACAACGAACTAAAATGTTACATGACACGCGTGATTTACAGGTTTTCTGCCCACTCTGCATTTAGCGGATTCGTTCATCATGCCATCAGGCTCGTATTCTTGGCTCTCTGTGGCCAGCATTTGGATCACCTGGGCTCAAACCCCGTTACGCGTCCCTGCTGCCTCATGAATGCTTTCTTTTGAAAGTTCCGAAGAGGGTATCAGACATGCTTAAGTAATCCAATAAAATTATAGTTATTCAAAGAGCTTAAGAATCAGGGTGCCCTCATTTTAATGGCTCGGATGTGCTTATGTAAGCCCACCTGCAGTAAACTGTTATGATCCGGAAGGAAGGTAGGACGGGAAGGAGGACAAGCATTTTATTGATAACTTGCGGACACTAGGGGTTGCAACTCATAAGAGAGATGCGCCATTTATATTGGCTCCTGTGTGTTCTGGAACATTCCGTCCAATGACGTGCCAGCCCGGGACGTGCTGGTCGCTGATTGGCCGCCGTCTGCGCAAAAGCCCCCCCCCCGCGGAAACGGTTGTAATATGTCCGACCAGTCATTGATTGGGCCGCACACGTGAGCAAAGCCACCACACGTGCTCGGCGCTGCAGTGCACCCCGGTCGGCCGTCTAACTTCCCGCGTGTCTCACGTCGCCGGCTTGGTTCCCTGTTCAGCGCCTTAGGCCGTGGCTCTACGCTGCTTGCACTCTCTATAACATAAACAAACCCCAGTCACCTCTAATACGGAACCGGTGGTAATAGGGGTTTTTGCAGGTGGGGTCGGGGAACCAAAAGGCGACTAGTTCAAGTAGTTTTATGCAAAAGAAAAGCTATTGGGAATGCGCGGTTGTACTTTGAATGGTTGAGAAATAGTTGCACTTATCCCTAAACCTGACCCCTCTCCATAGCCTCTCACCCTAAACCCTAACCTCTAGCCATAACTCCTAAACCGAATTCCTTACCCTAACCCTTAACTCCAAGCCCAGCAGTATTGCGTTCTTCAGGTGGAGCAACCAAATCACATCTTACCCTTTAATGATTACTCGTTCATAAATTTAACTGATAGGGAATGCTTCGAAATTCGTTCAGTTGTACAATTACAATCAGGCTGTGTGTACTTATGCGAATCGGTTTTAGTTACTATCAATGTTAAGCACCGTAATACATATAAACCAGATAATATATAGGCAATAAGTGAACAGTAGGTGGGCTACCTCATGAAATGTCAACCGAAATTCCGATCTGCGTCTTTGTTTTTAAAGGACGGGTTAAGTAGGATTGTAAAACTAATCATTACGCTGCAAGTTACCTCAGGATGCCGGCTTTTGAACGACCTTCTTACTGGCCGCATGTGACAACCACACTCCGTAAAAAATGACTACCTATGAAGCACGCAATTTTCTCCATTCATCTTTGATTCCCTTTAACATCTAATTATATTTCATGGAAAACGTGCATGAAAATATTCATTCTTTTACTCATTCGGTAGAAAATAACGTCTTCTCTCAAGTGGATGCTCAAAGGATTAGGATTATTTGGTTTTAAAAAGTTGCGGGATTTTTTATACCATGAACTTGCCGGTCATAAAACGACATGTCCCTACATTAACCAATGTGGTTTGGAAAGTTAACAAAATGGCTCTAATCCGCAGCCATATTTTATGAAACCCATATGGCTTCCTCTTAATACCATAGAGACATTTATGGTTTTCCGTACGCGTAAAATATGGGGCTTGTAGTTTGGAAACGGCACGTCGGATTCAAAATTATCCGGCAATTAGAGAGGTCTTTGAAAACCGATTTACACCCTTTTTTCGAGTAAAATATTGGAAAGAGACGGAATCTTCTACGGAATATTGTTATTCATCGAAAATCAAAGAGAAAGCGACTTGAAGTTGCTTTTACTAGTCTTTTGAAGTTGTAAATAATTTTTGCATTTTCTTGGAGCGTTCCAATGTGGTTATACTAAAAAGCAAACTTTAAACAATAAAATGTCGTCTAAAGGAAGGGTTTTCATATTTTTGCGTGGTAACCAGCTCTATTCTACTGCGGGGCATTGTTGAAGCCAAAGATTTCGGATAGATTTTTTAACCGTCGAAAAATCTCGTGTAAAATGCACTTGTGCACTCCATCGGCAGTTACTAAGATGAATGTGCTTCTGAGGCGAGGAGGCTCGTTCATCTGCCCCTTCTAGAAAGCTCGGACGGCCATAAAAACGTGCTTGGTGTTTAAGGTCTAAAGGCTCAAAGGCGGTGCAGGCAGCGGCAAACAGCCCATAATTAGAAAGTGCTGTTGCAAGCAAAGATAATTATAAGCTCATTCACCGTCACCTGCCTGAGACTCCACGTCCTGCGAGATTAGCATTTAACCAGTGCTTGAATGTCAGTTTTTCAGGTTTGAGAACTTTGCATGGTATGGCAATGTGACTTGGAAACCGGAAATGGCACTCACAGTGTCTGCTGCATCAGGTCCGACGTCTCAGCTGCAGTAGTCTTTTAGTGTAACTAAACACCTGCCAGATAGACTGACTAAACAGTAAATAATTGCGGAGACAGCAGAATACCGTCTGTTAAAATATATTAATCATCACCGAACAATAAATTATCATCGTCTTTAAACAGGTTTCTGGAAAATTGAAAAAAAGCTTCTATTGACAAAAGTGAAGCAGCCGATGGACTTCCACCTCGATTTTATGTTTTACCTTAATGTTCATTTCATGCAATAGTTCCCTTGAAGCCCTATTCTTACGCATTTCTGTACAAAAGCGGTTCAGTTTGTTTAAAATCCTCATCGAAGATTTTATCGTAAAACTGTTAGCGACAGCGGGCTGAGGTCGACCATCGGTGCCAACGTAGTCCACTGTGTGCCCAACAACAGGGTAGGCGTAGGGGCCGTGACTTTAGCAGTGAGTAGTTGGTGGTGCTAGTGAACTTCCGTCGCACGTTCGTACCCTCTCCCCCCCTATTGAGTCTCGTGTCATTATTTACTCAAAATAGTCGGGAAAAGGTGGCTGGTACGGCAAGCACTCGGACTTCGGCATGTTTTTATTTCGTGCGAGAGGGGCCGATTTCGTGTATGCTGAACGGTTTCGTGTTTTACGCATGTGATGGTGAGGAGGAGGCATGTAATAATAGAGTCCGGTCGGCGATGTTATTTGTAGTCTTCGTGAATGCGTCCGTGATTGAGTAGGCCGAAACTGAATGTGCGGGCTCGATGTGGCCAGTCGTGTGGTGTGCGCTAAGGGCATGTTGGCAGTGAAGACACCGGTTCGACATCCTCTGCGCGTAGGGGTAACCAGTGACCAACCAGATCGATGAGTGATGCGTATGTGTTGCGGTGGCGGTATTGTGAATAGGGTACGCTAGAAGGGTAACAATCGGCAGATGGCACTTAACATAATCCGCCTGACCAAAGCAGCCTGTCCTAAAGGACAGGTGGTAAGAGGGGTTTTATGGGTGGTGGGTGGTGGGGATGTACGATACTAGCCGACGGAAAGCCTTATTTGAACAAGTAAATGATCGAAGTTGGCTCTCTCTTCGTTCCGTTATTACAAAATGAGCCGCCAAAGGCAGTATGGTGGTAACGGACGATTGGAAGGCGTTTAATCGTCTTCCCTCAGAAGGTTATCTACATTTCTCTGTTAACCACTCAAAGAACTTCAAGGACCCTACCACCGGACGGCACACCAATGTCATTAAGGCATACTGGAGTAGACTGAAAAGGAAACTCTACGAGGGATGCCCTGTACGTGGTCGAGCTTTGTGGACTCACATAGACGAAGTACAGTATCGTCTTTGGTTTGGCCTCAATGCCATGTCTTTGACAGATGCCTGGGAACTGTTCCGTCCCATGTGGTGCAGACTAATCCTTTTTAAAAATGATTTTGTTTTGTAACAAACTACCATAATGGGAATGTATGCCGTATATTCAGGTGTACGTGTGTAACGATGGGGAAGGTTAGGTAACAGCGACCATCGTCCATGTAACCTCCTGCGATGTTCCTTCGGCCGGCCCATTTTAGGACGTCAGGGAAAGTCCAGGTAGTTCGTGAAAGCAGGCCTGCAACCGCTGATATAGCCTGAAGGCGTTTGAGTCCACTTTTGAGGGTATTATTTCTAGGTCGTGAATTTTTTTGGGTGCCATCTCCCGATTGTTACCGTTAGAAACTGGTGAGATGGTTGCCATAGTAATGCTCTTAATGGTGATCTCACTGGGGAAAGGGAGAGTTAGTAGAGCTGGAGATGGGAGAGTTGTTAGATTGCAAGGTGTGCTGGTGTGTCAATACGCCGGTGAATCCCGCTGTTGTACCTACTCATGCAGCCAGGAGGGTCTACGTGGTAAATGAATGCGCGTGCCAATGAGGACAGTAGAGTCGAATACAAACCATGTATATCTGAGTCCCTGGTTCTGGTGTGCCGGTCGTAGCGCAATAAATTTGAAAGCGATCAAACAGGCTGTTGCCTTCGCCAGGAGGTGCGAACGGGACGAGGAGAGGTTGGGATTGAGTCCACATTGCTGGCGATGGGGCAGTGGTGTTGAGGGTAGTAACTGACGGGGCGTGGGAGCGTTCTCATCGGTGCTGGGAGTTCACAGGGCGGTAATCCGTACCACGGGTGTTATGGCCGTGTGGGGGTAGACGACAGAGCAACAGAGGTGTGATAAACGGTACCCTTGATGGATTATGTTGTCAGAAGCGCGGTGGAAGTTGTCGCGGTCGGAACGATAAGGGGCGTTAGAGCAGGCGAGGGATAAAGCTGTCGGATTTCATTGGATCCGGAGATGAGTGACGAGGCCAATAGGAGCGGAAAATGCTCTTTCGCAGCATATGCATTTTTAAAGGGGTGAGTGTTGACGTTATGGTTCGGTGGCGCTTGAGACCTGAGAACCGCCACTTTGGCCTTGGTAGTGACGGCCCGGTTCGCTTCGTAAATTGTTGTCCCAATCTCCACTACAGTTCTGCAGGCTGTCTTTCCTGGGCGGGATCATCCTAGGTCTCCCTTCTGATTTGCAGATGCTTGCTATAGTTTTTCAAGATCATCTTATAGTTTCTTTCCTGCCCACCCCCTTGTCGACGAGACCCATTTGCCACATAACGGCAAACGATTCGTCTAGGTAGGCGTTCGTCATCCCTGCTCACGAGGCGACTGCTCCAACGCAGTTACATTTACCTCAACAGGGCGTGCGTGCTGAAGATTCCGGCTCCGTAAGCACTTAGGTTAGCAGCAGCTGAGATGGAATTGACTGGGTTTCCTGGCTTTCCTGTAGACACCCACTAGCAGTTCCTTACATCCGGTTTCAGTTAATGCCCGTGGCGATTGTGTAGGGCGTCCTGCAGCCTATTGAAGGCCTGGCTAGCCTTGGAGATCCGTTGAACCACCACACTGTCGATTTTTATGCTGCTTGAAACCTAAAAAGCGAATGTTATTACTGTTTGGAGTTGGATGCCGTTGCTCTTTGACGGCGAAAGTCACTGTACTCATTAATAGGCAATAACGGGTGCATGATTATTGCTCTATCCCTGTTGCTATTCGACCCTAGGTTAGCGCATAGGGGGGGGGGAAGCGAGAAGAGGAAAGAACAGACGGAAAACATTGCATAAGCCACTCCTTAGCTCAAAAGGTAGCTCAACAATCACATCTACATCCATACCTATGACCTTACCATATACCTTACCTTAAGTAGGTTAGTGGACTGAGCCCATTTATAAGCTAGTAGATGTTATCTGTAAGCTCTTGTCAGTGGCAGAACATTCGTCGGCGAAGAGACATTTGTGATAAATGACGCCTGCGCTCATGTCCTCGGCGCCGACTTGCGTCGCGGCAAAAGCCCAAAGAGGACACTGGGGGGTCTTTTGGCTTTGCACGGCGGTAATTTATTGCCGCTGGCCGTTCTGCAGTCGCTAGTTTGGATTTCAGGTCTGGATCTCCAACCGGCCAATAGGACATCTTGGCAAACGTCATTTATAGTCGGATTTGTGCACTCCGTCATACATCCGACGGGGTACAACAACAGAAACCAAAGATGGCTCAGTGAGCAAAATGGCTGGATTTATAATCTTGCGCACAGTGACCGTGGTTTGGCGGTCATTAAAATCAGACAGTGTAATTAATGTACAAAGTGTTTTTTGCTACCAATGCGCCCGCTTGTGGTAGCAGCTGCGTTGATACCTTTGGCATGCCTACGCGCCTGCCCAAACCATTTCCGCATGACACGAGCAAGATATTACACCACATCCATTAAATGCAGAAATTGTTCTCTACCACAATCAATAATTCATGCGTAGCGGCTCCTCCTACCCCACCTTACCTAGGGCAGTCATAGTAAGTCCTTAGTTTAAAAAACGTATTGGTCGAATCTAGGGAAACCAACGTATTTCAAAGTCACCTATTTTATCCCGATCGTCACTGAGAACCATGCGCGCATTTTGTGAAGCATATTTACGCGTGAATATCATTCCTTATAGGAGATGTGGTGATGCAGCTGACGAAATTTGCAAAACGAGGACAGCTTAAATAGCCGCGAGGAAGAATGTAGTATTTCGAGTACACAGATTGCGTAAGGTAGGGTGTAGGACTCCACATATCTAGCAACTCTGATATGCACACTAAGATTCGGCATGACTGCGAACACCAATATTCACTTTTTAAAAATTAATCATCTTCTATTTCTTAGATTATCGCACTTCCTTCGACATCTGTCAGCATACAATAAAACGTTCGGCAGAAATTTGCTTTTTCCGTTTTTAGCGTTTCGCTTGTTCTATATCCTGTGTCCCGCGTGTAAAACTCCTCTTTTACCATTCAAAATATTGCAGGGTCCACAGAATACATCAACTTCGTAAGGTCTTACACCCTTTCCCTGCTGCAGTTTGCCTGCAGAACGTAGCTTTCGTCTTTTATCGCCAACACTTTCTAATTAAAAGAACGGATAGACCACGTAAACTCCACTCTGAGGGCGTTGGCTGCGTTGATAAGTGCACTAACTTTGACCATCAATATGGAAAGCCGTCTGTTTCGACAAACCATTAGACCGCGTTTGTAACCTCTGCCGAAAACATTTAGCAGAGCTCTGTACAAACATATCGCTAACTGCAAACGATTTGATAATGCAAATAAACACCTAAAACGCTAACGCAGAGTAAACAGTCAATTACGTTTAATGTGACTCACAGTCTAATTAGAAGCTTGAAAATACAAGCAAAAAGGGCACAGATGATAGATGGCATCTCACGCGCTCCCAGATTGATCTTTTAATTTTATGCTTCAAAGTGTCTTGCCTCTCCAAATAAAACAGAGTTCACATAGGTTTTGAATATAAGATCGTTGGTGCTAACATAGTCATATTTGTCCTCCTATAAGGGTTAGTTTACCCCAGAAGTATGAGCTTTTAGACGAGAATAGGAGTTCGCTAGATGTTTTGACTATATGGTGGAAAAAACGGCGTTAAAGATACAACGGGCAATCCCGTCTTTTTACGGCAGATTTCTATCGCACAGCCGATGCGCCTATTAGTAAATGAAAGCACTTAGCTTTGACGCAAAAAAATTATGCATGCTTTGTCTCGTTGAAAAACGGTTTTTTCGTCGTGCTTGTTTGTTCACAGAAAGGGACATTCTCTTATACTCCGAGGGCAAGTCAACTAAAATCACCTTCATAAAAACAAATACATTCAACACAAACAAATATTATCAAATAGTTAGTAGGGTAACTTTCCAACTTATGCGTTTCTTTACTCCAAAAAGCCTAAACTAACGAGATGTTATCTTTTATTTTTCTAGATCCATACGTGAAGCTTTCACTAATGTTGCAAGGACGAAGAATAAAGAAAAAGAAGACAACCATTAAAAAGTACACATTGAACCCGTATTACAATGAGTCCTTCACTTTCGATGTGCCTTTTGACCATATTCAGGTAAAACTCATTTGATTTTTTCTAAATAGTTCTCTTGCTCAAATACGCGACTCAACGATAGACTTCCTTTGGTCTTTTTTGGGGATTGTAGCAGAAAAACAGTCTGTGTCCGCAGTTTAAGGTGTAAGGAAGAAGGGTTTTTTGCGTGTACTGCGGCTCCTCACAAAACCGTACGAAAGCCGAATATCCGCTTGATGTGTTCAGTAAGGCATTACTCTCCTCAAAAAATCAATATCAGTTCAAATTATGCGACAGCGTACTTTGGCAGTACAGCAGATGTGATAGATCAGGATATGAAAGCAGAAGTTATGGAATGGTTTTTTTGACTTAAAAATGATACTATGGTGGAGTTTTATTAATAGCAATCATGTAGCATAGTTCAATATTTTCTCGTCTATGTCCGGAATGCCTCCTATTAAAGGAGCGTCTTTTCGGTCACCTTTGCAATATGCATTCCAAAGGAATGATTAATTACGCAGTATGGATGTTTCGTGTTGATGCTCGATGTCTCTTTAAATTTAAAAGTCATTTTTAGGGAAACATTGAGCCGAAAGAGGACACTATGGTATACCCGAAATATATTTGGACTATGCCTCACGATAATCAGTCGTACAACACGTTTTAACTGACGACAGATCGAAAGCACATTCCCAAATATCGGTTGTCGTTTTTGGTACAGCACACCAACTGTAATTTTAGTCCTCTAACCGGCCCTAAGGAATACTAGCACACCCAGCCTTATATGAAACTGTTACAGTTGCAAGTATAGATAACTATGCTTTGATAAAATTGTTTACTTTGACCGGGTCTAATTAATTTTAAAAAAATATTGACTGAATGAAAAACCAATTTATAGGAGACGCTTTTGAATACCACACCTGTGGATAGTATTTTTAAACTTTTCTATGCGCCAAGGTTTTACGTGGTAATGGAATTCATACATTCAAACTGTGAAAAGTCAGTTTGATAAAAGTCTGTGGTATAAACCACGTCGTAAAAGAGTGCACTATTGTCAGGGATATTATTTTGTCAATGACAATTTACTCGATCGAAATACGGTCATCCTGTCTGCGTAAAGTCCTTTTCACCTATTAAACTGCTTTCCACATTAAAATATTTGTGATGTTATAGTTATGTTATGCTTTCGGCAGTGATTTACGTTACAATGATTCGTGTTCGCTAGATGCACTAAATTGTCATGCGCTCTTTGGCGACTAGAAATCCAAACACTTAGCATCCTTCTTCAGCTAAGTGAAGTTTAGTGTCCCTGCGTGTCTACGTCATAGGGAGGCTATGTCTGCATGGGGGTCATTACATTATGGCCCGGTGTTTTATAGTCTCATTGACTCTTTAGTTGTCAATATTGCCAGGCCAGACCTTCAAGTGCAACTGACAACTCTGTAAGCTACATCTAACTTACACCGTTCAGTATCTCATTTAGAGCTAAAGGCATTTTTAATTAATATCCACAACTGCGGCTGTAAAACGCATTGGGCTAGTAAATACCGGCCGAGTTCTGACGTAGTGGTTCCATAAACTTTCGATGCCTTTCTTCCAACCAGCGTTATCTTGTCCTGTTTTGGTTTATGTTAGAAAAAGCAAAGAGATATCTCCTTTACCAAAGAGCATTTGGACAGTCAAACATAAAGTTGTTTTATGCATTTAACATCCCCAATCTGTTTACTGTAAGACAGTACGCAGAGGATAGACAAAAAACGGAAAAATTGGTCACTGGATATCCGCCTGTCACTGATAATTCCGGCTTGGCTTTGAAGGGGCAGTCGAGTGGAATTCTGGCGGTGGATTTTTAGCTCATTTGCCCGTACATGATAACTTACGCGTGCATACTAATAAACAACAAAAAAACGGTACAGAAAGCAGGATTGGCTTTCAGATAAGACCAATTGCCTGCACTAGCCGACGCCATAAACCGGCGCGTTTTTTCCTGTATTCGTGCCGGAAGGCAACACTAATTCATGTGCACAGTTTCCATCACTGCGTAAAATACATGGACCAGTGACACGGTTGAAGGATTGTTACAATCGTCTACGTTATGACCAATTGAATTTGGTTGCAAAAGTTACACATCTCCGACATTTTTGCATCGGTTTGCGAGGCTAATATCGGTCACAAAAGAAAAAGTGGCATCTTAGTCTAAGTTTGAGTTTACCGTAAGCAGTACACATCATTGGTGTTTGTGTACAACCGCTGAATTAGCCTGAGCAGGATTAGATCTTCACAGCACCACCAATGATAATACTTCATTTTGCAGTCGGATCCACAGAATGACAGTTCAGGAGTTAACCAACGACTAACAGTCAGATGATCTCAGATGAACTTAGACAATCCAAAGATCCCTCGGTGGTAAAGGAATTCAATGGATTCCTCAAGTTTAACACCGGACTTGCGAAGGCACAGGTGACAAGCAAATTCTTATCAGGATGTACTGAACAGGGTGAACATCTCAAATACTACTGACAAAACTTATGAAGAAATAATACCGCCGCAACTTCAACTGCATTTAAACGACATGCAAAAGCCACATTGAGACAGTTAATGCCAGGATTAAAGAATTCTACCGGAACTTGTGTCAGAGAGCAGGGGTCTTTGACCGTCTTGAAAACTACGAGAGACTGGCATTTAAAGACTATGCAGAGGCAGTCAGAATTAAAAGAATAGAGACCAGGTGGACTAAGCTCCTACGAAGCGTCCAGTCAGTAAATGCTCAGACCGTACTTCCGAACAATCCGAAACGGTACGTACATAAATATTCCTCAGAACGTCTTCATAAAGCTCTCCTAGAAGTACTAGCTCTTAGCACTAAGTTTTGTATTGCACGGTGGATGTCGAAACAGTTAAAGCTGGAAATCCAATCTGAGAGTCTCTTTAGTCAGACCACAGATCTAAAACTCAGCGCTCCTAAAGAAATTGATTGTCTCTGGTCAACTGTAGTTAACTGCTCCCAACAGTATCTAAGGAAGGCTCCGATAAGCGAAGGTTTCTTGACAAGGGCTCACATCGATAGCCTTAGGGAACTTTGCAAAAATAAAGACATTGTGCTAACCAGACCAGATAAGGGTTCAGGAGTAGTACTGATGGACAGAAAGGATTATGTGGCAAAACTAGAGGAAATACTGTCGGTTTGTTTCAAATCTTCAAAATTCGAGAAAGATAAGGATCACACAGAGGCTGTCGAGGGCCAGTTGACGAATATTCTCAAACATCTCTGCAAAGAAGGTCATTTGTGTAATAAAGAGTGTGAATGACTGAGGCCGGTGGGCACGACAATATCAAGGATGTACGGTGTTCCAATAATCCACAAACAGGGGATGCCTCTACGTCCAACCTTGGATATGAGGAATCCACCCTATCACGCCGTTGGAAAATGGTTAGTGGATAGACTGAATCCACTGCAAGGTCATCTGTATCCTTGAAGTCTGAACGACTCCTTTGGGTTCGTTGAAGCTATAAAAAATATTAACGTTAGCGGACAGAGGATGTTATCACTGAATGCATTATTGCTGTTTACCAACGTGCCTGCGTAAGAAACGATAAATTATCTTTATGATGTTATTCCTGATACGATCTACCCCATAGACATGCCAGCAAATACGCTTAAAGAACTACTGACGCGTTGCTAACAAAATGTGCAGTTTCCGTGCAATGGTCAATTATACAGACAGATAGATGGCGTGGCAATGGACTTACCTCTTGGAGCGTTCCTTGCAAATGTTCGTATGAGCAAAGTCGAAGAAACACGATTGCAAGATACCATTCATTGCCTCGTCTTCTACGGTTGGTACGTGAACGACATCTTCTGTATGACGGATGGTACCACCGATATCGACGACCTTGTCGAAAAGTTCAACAATGCGCACCCCCCGCTAGGATTCACTGCTGAGCCTCAGGCAGATAACGAAATTGCGTTTCTCGATGTCCTTCTACACAGGCAGGACGATGGGTCTATCCAGCGCACGGTGTTCCGAGAGAGAACCTGAACAGAACAATACGTTAATTTCCACAGTTTCGTTCCCCTCAACATCAAACGAAATCTAGTCCAGGGATTGGCAGCTAGAGTGAGGCGCATCTGCTCACCTGAAGCTATTGAAACAGAGTTTCTGCAGCTGCGAAACACACTCCGCGAGAACGTATACCCAGATAGATTTATCCTTCGAAATATTAGGGAACGCATTGCAAAGCTCACTGTTGCCACTGCAGAAAAGAAAGATGTATTCATAAGACTGCCTTCTGTAGGGGACGCAGCGAGCGAACTAATCAGACGGCGCTTAAGTACATCTCTCACGACAGCATTCCCCGCGGCGAATTTACATGTATGTTTCATAAACTCTCCCCTTCTACGTTTGGGAGGTAAAGATAGACTACCGTTGGAGGCCACGTCAGTGTGCATCTACTCACTCACCTGCTGCTGTGAAGCGGGATACATCGGCCGCACAACGAGACGCCTGATAAAGAGGGTGCGTGAACATATGCCCGCCTGGCTAGACAGAGGTGTGACCCGATCGATTTCAAGTTCTATTCTCGCAGATTTAATCGATACGGATCACCGAGTCGATGCCAAGGAAGCATTTCAGGTTGTCTATCGAACACCAACAAGCTTCTCTAAAGGCCTACGCCAACGGATACTAGCAACGGCCGAGGCTGTGTCTATACGGCTAGCGAATCCGGGGCTATGTGGTCAGAAAACCATGACACAAGCGCTCTCTCTGCCGTGGCCAACGCCAACCTCATGTTATGATGGCATGCCGCCTCAAATCCCTGATTGCGGTGATGGGTACTCCGTGTACTCAATACAAGAACATCACTCAAAAACCCACTTACCTCCCTCCCCCAGCCCTAAGGACCAAAGGCCACCGACGTTGTCATGCAGGCGGCGTGAAGAAGATGAGTGTTAATGACTCATTGCCCCTGAGACACCTATAAACACTGTTGACTTTGTACATTTTCATTCTTTCATTCAACTGTATCGGCCTGGCGAAGAATTACCGAAAACACGCGTTTGCCAACTTGACTTTTTAAGATCTAAGGTGAGTTGGGTTTTAAAGAAGGAGACACGATCGCTGTGAGAAGGGCTTTATTAGCCTGACGTTTCGCGTTCCTGCTCGAACCCATCATCAGAGACAACAGCAGACACGTATCTGCTGTTGTCTCTGATGATGGATTCGAGCAGGAATCCAAAACGTCAGGCCAACAAAAATCTTGTCCGAGTTATCGTGTCTTCTTCTTCAAGACTACTTCCTAGGACCCGCCTCTTCACTTCTATTGGCAATGAGTTGCGTTTATCTGCCAACCACGAACTACTTGGCTGCTGAGCCGTTGTCACTGTGGATTCCTGCGAAGCAAGCTGCCCATCTCACTTAGAGACTACGTTTTTGTGACTTCTTATAGCTTAAAATGTATTTGTAACCTAAATTTAGCACAATACTAAACTGCATAGTAGCAGAATTGGCCGTCCGGCGAGTGGGATTTGCAAATATACCTCAATGAGTAAGGATCTTGCTTTATGAAAACTTAAAATTAACACCGGCAGACCGCTATCTGATCATCTGAATGCTCTGCAGTCAGGAACGTGCACTCTTTCTAAGGACTTCATGTTTGCATAAGGATTGTCAATGCTAAAGATTCTTTTCTCTGACCGTTCTCGCCTTGTTCTTTACATCGATTTTGGTATTTACAAAGAACGATTTAAAGTCCACCGCATTGTTCCCACTTTCAGAAGGTCAGTCTAATCGTGACCGTCGTGGATTACGATAGGATAGGAACCTCGGAGCCAATTGGACGAGTCGTTTTGGGTTGCAACGCAACCGGTGCCGCACTTCGCCATTGGTCCGATATGCTAGCTAATCCGCGCAGACCGATAGCGCAGTGGCACACTCTGCAGGAGATGCCAGAACGAAACTGACGGCGGTCGCCTCTCAGGCTTAAATGTGTTGACACGTTACTCTGCCTTCAGTCAGATCCTGACTTCCCTTACCTGCCCTAAACAAATGCCACGAGCGAAGAGTTCAGCCTTTTCCGACACTTCGGACTCTGCTTGGGAGTATGGTTTGCTTGTTTCGTGTGAGAACGAAATGCCGGGTTGGCAGACCCTCGCACGCAAGCCCACATCCATCTTTTTTCCACCGTTTGTTTTAAATTCATTCACGTTTTTCCGCTTCGTTATTTCCGATCTTTGCAATGTTCCACTCCTCCTTGAGCATTGCAAACTACGGACGTTCATTTGCATGGGAAAAGTTGTCTAAACTTGTTTTGCCTGTTCAATAATTGCTGTGCCTACATGAAAGCATTCAAAACGTAAAATAAGGTTGATTTCTGATGTGCACTGTCAAAAAGAATAATGCACTCTTTTGTTCTTCTAGTCTATACGGCTATGGTTTGCATGCTGGTGAACGTGGTAGTGATTTAAAATGCGAGCACCAGACGGGCCTGCAAGCGGTCCTTTTAATGTACTGGCGGGTAACTGCTTAGATTATGCGCATTCCATTCCGGGACTCTTCGAAAAGCTCAGACTTTGGTGAACATGACTGTAGGTAGGCACTTAGACGCTGACCGTACTTAACGTTTTATTCACAAACGGCAATTAAGCCGTGCTGAACATCAAAGCTCCCGGACAAAATGCGTATCAGTGTAAATTAAGAGCCATCGGCAATTACTGGACACGCCCAACCCCTCCTTGCGCCCTGGTCAAGTTAACTATTTCGGGGAGGAATCTCTTAAAAATATGAGCACTTTTGGTAAAAGCGTTAATTCAGAAGTTCATTCTAAATTTAAATATTCACAAAATCAACAGCAAACTTACTCAATTAAGAGAGGTATAATAAGACTCCAGCATCAGGAAGCGTGTTTTTTGAAAAAAAACTGTTGTTCTTATTTTGAAAGAATGCATTGCAATGGTAACCGGGTATTAATTGTTTAAAGGGATAAAGATATTCACCCAAAATAGGCCAGTCAAATTATTTTCTAACGCGCTTTGTTTGTCCGAATTCACCACGCCATTAGTGCACAGTGAATCTAATTACCCAACTCAATGAAAAATGACAAGCACGTTTTTTGGCGGACTTAATCTTACTGCTTGATACTGATCCTTTTGTCTAGTTGACTGTCTTCTGTTTTATTACTAAAACCGCTTAAATTTATACATTATATTGTTTCATACATTGTAGTAAATAAACCATCATGAACTCTTTCTATCAGCGAAGTTGTTGAGATGATTTATAGAAGGTGATTAGTTTTCTATTTTTTTCTATCTTTGTTTTTTTATGATAATTCAAAACTGACTGAACTCATGCGATGTATGACTCGTCATTTTGACAACAAAGCTACTGGGGAGGAGTAAAGCTCCGGCTGCGTTTGCCGCTACATAACGTAGCTGCGAAATGCCCTGTTCATTAACTGGCCACTCATCGTTACACATGCGTTTGTGGCATGTTCTCTAATTTTCCAGTCAGAGCTCATCGAGATATCCAGAAGTGTTATGGCTCAGCCAACGTGTCCAAACTAAAAACTTCGTTGGTGACTTGTAATCACAACGCAGTTAGTCCGCTGAAGCCGGTGAAGTAGACTTAAATATCCATATTGACATTCGGATGAAACCTTCAAAAACGTTTGTGGGTGAGTTTCCTTAAAATTAGACGATTCATTATTCAGGATGTTGTTAAGATACCCACTTTTAACAAAACTGTCGCCTGGGTTGGATCCCACAAGGAGGATTTGCGTGTTTTATGGATTGTAGGAATTTAACTGCCGAAAGCAAACGACCCGGCACATATACCCATATCAATAACATCGGCACTATGTTTTGATGGAATCCATGACGGGGGCAAACAGGTTTCGGCCGAAATGTCTTTCACAGGCCAACACTGCAAACTTTGTTTCGTGGTCGTCTTGATTATTGGTGTTTCACAAGCTATACATGAAAAATTGCAAAACCACGACCATATTTTCAAATGACTGTTGTGCAAGCATGCGTTCGTTTTCGATAAATTATTGGTAGCATTATATACGCTTCTTCTAGCATCTCGACCGTACCGGGCAACAACGGCCACCGTGCGTACCATGAAGTTGACGTGGCACCACTGTCTTGCGTACGCCGGCTTGCGGCCCATCGGCGGCACCCTCTCCTCGCTCCCCCCTCCCCCCCCAAACTTAGGATTATAGGACATTTTAAAGATAACCGAGGCAGACTTGGTCAGAATGGCCAACAATATTAAACTTCCTAGCCATGAGTACTATGTACCCTCTGTTCAAGCCCAATGAGCCGGGTTTTTACAGAAAGGGGCCCCGATCTCACGTTAGCGGGATACCCATACGGATGGCATTGAGAAGCAGCCACTGGTTCTCATTTCCATTTCCCTAGCCAGTCGTCCTACCATGGCACAGAACTGGACATGAGGACCAAGTTATCCAGTCAGTTAATAATGTATCATGATGCGTTCAAAGGGCCTCAAATGTGGCCTGATGGCTGTAGAAATATCTTCCGCCGGATTGACCTCACGTATTTTTCCCTCTCGTGTTCGTCAGTTGATTGTCCGCGCCTGTCGCTCATTTGTCGCGGTGTCTGGGTCCAGTTGCGGACAAATTTGCAACTGGGTGTATCACTGCCTCACACACGATCATGTTTAGCATCAGGTTGCAACAATTAACATACTTTTTACTCAGGTAGGCGGTACACGTTCTGCCCCTGTGTTGGGTGCTGTTGTGCGATGTATTTGCTGGTGCATTTGCCCCTAATAAGGGGTCACGCGGTAGGTGCTCTAAAGCAATATACGGCTGGATCGGAGTCCGGCAGGCGTTATTGCGAATGCGCCAAAATTGGGGTTGTGGTGGCACGCCCAGTTCGGGGTTGAATCTGCACCAAGTAAGATCCGTGGCGCTCCCTATCTATGTTGTGGTGTAAAATCCTGGTCAGTGTCCGTTGTGAATGTGATGGTACACCTGGCTGAGGGTTTCGGCATGCCAACCACATGCGCATTCCGCCACCTCTGATCTCCTTAACTTGGTCATGACATTTGGCAAAGGTGTGGAAGGAGGGGGTGAGATCGATGTTGTGCAAGTCAACTATGGCTGTATAGTGATTCGCGATCAAGCGAACGTCTGCGCTCTCACCCTGTTCTGGAGCGCGCTGTGGACATCATTGAAATCGACGGTCGAACTGTCGGCGGAGTAATGCGCGTTAGCAATTTAACGTCTGCTAGGTTTTGCCGGGATATTTTGCAAAGACATATATGTCCGAGTGGGCCCGTGCAATGATGAAATGTCTCTGGTCAAGGTTCACAGGCTGGGAGGATGCGACAGACGTATATTAACTTTCCTGACACCGGTATCCGGTTCTGTGTAGTAGATTAGCAACTATTCCACGAGGCTTATTATGAAAAATAGTATGGACAGTAAGGTAATGTGACTAATGAGTTGGCGGTGTAGCAATTCTTTCAATCGTGACAACGCTGCCACTAGTCTTTTGGTGTTGATTGTGGGGATGGTGTTAGAGATGGTGGTGGTACAAGTATAATAGAAGTAGTAATTTGCAGATGTAAAAGCAGATGCTTTCTGATAACATATTGCGGTAAATCCCACTGTCAGTGTCTAAATGTCCTAGGGTATTTTAGGCGACTGGGTCGTGCCTGAAGAACTACGTGTACACTACAGGCAATAGTTCGCCGGATTAGTAGTTTGAATTCCAAGGTTACCAATCAGGACTGTTCGCGAAAAAGTGACTTTTCATTAATGACGCGTTAGAATTGAGTCCACCTTGTTGGTGATAGGGGTAGTGACGGTAATCGCTTGCGGGTACACATGAGCGTCCTCATTAGTGCATCTTATAACGGTTGTGATGTGTTGTGTGAAAAGTGGGTAAGTGTTTGTGCTGACAATAAACTAGATCCGCAGGTGTCCAACAAAGTCGATCAGTGTCTGGCAAGTTTACGGACAGTTCAGATGTGACAACAAATTTGAGCGATGGTCTCGTTGCTCTGAAATACTTGTATCTTACGGGAGTTTCGTCTATCATGGCAGCGGCTATTTTGTTGGCTCAGATTCGGGTTTTTGCATCAGTGCTCCATAACTGCTAATCTTCACCGACGTTCTATTAGGCTACCGAATTGATAAGCGGATGTTCTGGCATGATCGTGAAGATAGTCCCTGTGGCGACGCTCTTTTCAGCCATGTCTACAACCATTCGAAGCTGCATCACTGTATAATACTCATTGCATCTTACGTCTGTCGTCCATCGTAACAACGTGAGTAACCCATCCCAGATGTATATGCCTCAGCTCTGCGTGATTACTCAGGACGCCGGTACCCGCCATGATTTTAGCTTCCGGGATCCCCTTTTCCACTTCACATTCATGAGTCTTTGGAGGCGGCTAAGGCGAGAATGATTGGCTATGTTAGACTAGCCTTCCTAGACAGTCCACATCTCCGCTCCGTGCAAGATCACTCTTAGGACAGCAGCATTTGACATTCTGTTTTGTTTAGAGGAAAAAAATGAAGCAGGTCTTTAGGCAGCCCAAGATTTGACTGGCTTCGGAAATCAGGCAAGCGATTTTGTCGTCCACCGTAGTGTTTTTTTAAACTGTTCTACTTAAGTATGCAAATGCTTGCTTTGCCGCTACGTAACAGTCGTTGACAGTGACACATGTCAGGATAGCTCTCCACTTGAGTGTAAAGGAGTTTAAGTTAGATGTATGTTTAATGCATTTTGTCCCCGGTACGAAGCTGAAATAGACAGGCGGGGCAGGATTTAATGGTACCAAAAAATTTCGCGGCGGCTCGTCAGCTGCGTCATATGGCTTCATAACATAGATAACGAGTGGGAAGGATAAAACAGATTTGAATTCGGGCAGAAAATCAATGCAGAAACAGCAAGGTCATTGCTTTGGGCAAAGCAGGCTAATCGATAAAGTT